CAATCGCGTTAATAGATTTTCAGAGAATGTTTAATGTCTTCCAATTTCATACCACATAGAAGAAGCTAATTAGTTTTCAGTGGTGTTATATTTTTGGAATAAGTAATCTATTTATTATTACTAATTTTATAATTAATGAAATAAGAAATTGCAGAGTGCAATAGTTCCAGTGAAAGATGGTGGTGCATATTTGTCTCGGTGTTTGGATTCACTCCTTGAGCAGGTGGTATGTTCGAAATTTGTTATCGAGGTATGAATTTTCTCTCTATTAAAGCAGTAATAAATGCATAAGATGGATTTCGTTCGTCTAAAAATTGTGACAGTGCTTTAGCTTTCATTATTCGACGATGGCAGTTCAGATAATACTTCCAGTATCATAAAACTCTATAAATCGAAATTTTTGGAAAAAGGCATCAATGTTATTATTGGAAGTAGCGAACATTCCAAGGGTATCTTGTTTTAATTCTTTCTTGTTGTACAAGTAATTATATCTGATTAGTGTCATCAACGCTTCTTCAAATTTTAATCTTAGTTATTTTCAATTCTCCTTATGTTTAGAAAAATTTAGGAATATTTTCATTCAATTTATAGGCGTAGGTTTTGCGAAAAACAGTTGTGTACGGCAATGTAGTGGATCGGTTTTAATATTCTGTGATGCAGATGATATCTCAGCGAAGCACCGTTTCATCTCGCTATATAATGTTTTGCATAATGCACTGAGACCTGACTTGACTCTTGTTGGTTCAAGATTTGAACGCATCCCGTCTGAGTCAACATCACGTTATACACAGTGGGCTAATTCACTTAACAATAAACAAATTTATAATCAGGTATTTGTCATGTTTTAGAAATTATGAGTTATATGATAAATATGTTTCTTCACAATAAGTTGGTATATTTAAATTAGTAGATTTTATATCTGCTTCAGTGAATTGTTTAACAGGAAAAAAAATCAACTCAGAGAATGTTTTAGTTAGCAGTCTTCGGAGTGTCATGAAGTTCTTTTATTAAGTTGTTTATTCATAGAACTCATAACTTTTCTTTAGAATTAGTAAGACATAGACTGTTCTGCTTTAGGGATTTCTGAATTCATAAATTTAATATTCATAGGTTTTCACTTCCTATGGACCCTCAATGATCGCTCCTACCTGGTGTATGTCGAAAAAGCTTTATGACAAAATTGGAGGTTTTCATGAAAGAGAACCAGTGGGTTATCCGGAAGATTTACGCTTTTTTTATGATGCTTTGAAAATTGGTGCAGATTTTGTAAAGGTATCAAACCTCTAACATGTTTAATCATCTTTTGAAAAGAAACTTTTCGCAATTTTGTTGTTTTAAAAACATAATTTTCATCAATCTTCAGAACTTGGAACATACAGAATTCATTCTAAAGTCCAACTTGAATTTTGTTCTGGTAGTGAGGATGGAACCATTTTTTTAAAATTTCCTTCAGATTGAGGAATCTTTGGTTACTTATCGTTATCATCCAAAGTGTACCTCTTTATATGTAACGGAAAAAATGATATGGAAGATGCGTATAGCTATGTTTGAGGAACTGGTTCTTTCAAAGTGGAAAAAATTTATGATTTGGGGTGCTGGCAAAATTGGAAAAAAGTTTTACAGGTAATTGATTTTTTCATTTTTTTTAAATTTATATAAATTTACTACGAAATACCAGCTTACCGAAAAGATATGAAAATATGTGTAACGAAAGTGTCGTTGTTTTTAAGCCTTTGTGATTAAAGATCTTTACAGTATTTTATGAAGATTTCTATATTAAATTTTTCACTTACAATATTTCCTTTTTTCCATTGGAATCAAAATTTTTATGTTGTACTGCAGAGTGCAATGAAAGAAATTACAAGGAATTTAGTTTTCAGGTCATTAAGTAATGAGAATCGTTTAAAGGTGACAGCTTTTTGCGACATTGATGTAAAAAAACTTTACTGCGGACGTTATGAATATTTTGTTCCAGGTCAGCGGAGAGTCCTTGCTACAGTCCCAATTATCCCGCTGAAGTGGGTTTTTGCATGTAAACAGAGCACCTGCTTTTTAGTTCAATTTTATATTCAATTATCTGTTTGATTTTTAGTGAAGTGGTTGCTCCGATTGCTATATGTTTAAGAATGGACTTTCTTGACTGCAACGAAGTAAGGAGAATATTAAAAACTCGTGAAATGGTCGAGGGAAAAGATTATTTTTATCTTTGGTAGTTTTTCGTTTAAAAGTAAAAAAAAAACACTAAATAAACTGAGTGACTATAATACATTACCAACAACCACATATAATTTCTAAAATGATCTTGTGATTAGTGAAATACGGGAGATTAAACTGCTTTTCAAGCATTATTTGATCGAAAATATAACATTAATAAAATTTTGCAGAAACTATTTATGAAAATGAATCCAGTCTCATTGTCTCATTGTCTTTAGTTTACTTGGTGCTCAAAATAGTAATTTACTGCTTAAGTAGTAAACACTTCGAAATTATCCTATTAAGACATTCTATTAAAAAAACCCTATAATCCTATCAAAACATATTAATCACTCTTATAGATTTCTTATGTGTTACAATGTTTATTCATTTTTTGATTTTGTGATAGTTTTACAAATCTTTTTGATGGTTTCAATTTATTAGGTTTTAAGATGTCAGTTTTAAACTGTTCTTTTTAGTATAAGCAGTAATAATAGCCGGTATAATAAAACTGATGTTTTTTAGATGCTTGCGCCGTTTAGCTTTGCTTTGCATGTTTAGCTACCTAATTTGGTTACCTTGTAAGTAAAGAAGTTATCTTCTGTTTTGACCTCATTTATAAACCAACATATTTTCCTTTGATGTTTCATTTTCATTACCGTTAACTGTATGATGTCACTTCCATTGCCATTTTATGTTCAAAGACATTTTGTAAGCGCCTTTTATATTTCAAAATTTGATTTCAAAACTTCATTTTGTGATTAAAATTTGCCTTTATCTCAGTGTTTGTTACCAAACTGAAATAAATGCTCCAAATTTGTACAGAAATGAAAAAAATGAGACTGAACAGTGCGGTTTTATCTAGTAAGGCTTATCTTTTCAACATTTGCTACCATTCATTCTAAGAGTATGTTTTTTCCATTGTTTGGTTTCAAAGGAGGATTTTCGTAGATGATTGATTTTAATGCGGCAAGAATCCACTTTTTGTGAATCTCTTGTTGCATTGATTTCCGCCAAGTGTTCAATGTAAAGCAATTAACAATTCTTTTGAATTCATTTTCTCATATCGATCTAATATGTTATGATATCGCAGTAGGGCAGAATTTCAAGATATCGGCTCCAATGTGCTATGATCCTAAAATAGAAGTTATGATAGAACACACTATCGACATCATAAATTTGTAGCCTTAGTATGCCTAGCTCATATTGCTGGAAATTGACGTAGCCTGCCCTTATTAAATCATGATATTTCAGTCTATTTCAGATGCCCTGCTACAACCTCACTTTCCATTCACATAAAGTTCATTCATTATTAAAATGCTTATAGTGGAAGACTAGTTCTTCTATTGAAAAACCTTACAGCTAAGCTTGGAACTCTGCGGAACTCACCTTTATACTTTCATTTTTTAAAACATTTGAAATGATTGGGAAATCTTTCGATGAAATTGGTTAATTTTTCAAAGCATTTATCATTCCAAGGTTGTATAAGCCATTCCCGATGCTAGAAGTACAGAAAATTTGCGAAAATAAACTGCTTCTTGTAGATCATGATGATGATCGCGCGGTACTGCATTCGACGAGTTGTTTGTCCGCAGCTTATGTTGTGGAGGGGTTTAGCAGCCAGAGTACCGTGAGTTTGTTATCTCATACACAAAATATTATAAAAAAGAAGTTCTATAATAAGTCTCCTCTCTCTCCCCATCAAAAAAAAAAATTTAGACCACAATGGAATCTTAATTCCAGATTATTTAATATTTAACTTACGAATTTTCAATAACATTTTTTGAATTTTTGAAGGGATGTGAAAGTCCGCTTTAAAAATAGAGGTGAAACTTTGGAAGCAATGGGTAAAATAGGTCAGTCGTTATATGAGGTAGTCGTTAATGCTGATTTACCTATTGATGGTTATGGAGCATGCGAAGGTACTTTAGCCTGCTGTACGTGCCACGTCATTCTTCAGTCAGAACATTATAAAAGGTCGCATTCTTTAACGTTTATTTTGTTAGCTTCTCTAAAGGGATTTTAATGAGCCATACAGAACAGGGGCAAGTTGTTCTCCGCCCTCCACAAATCTGTAGAAGCCTTCACAAATCCAACATATTTCTCAAGTCCCACTTTTAAACTCCAATAACAAATTCAATCTATTCCGACTATGATTCGCTGGGTATAGGCAATTACAATCAGTTACAGCCTACGTCTAGCGATGGTAAGATTCTCTAACATCGTATTTAATCCATTCTTTACAGATTGCCTCTACCAGTTGAAGAGGAGCTCGACTTGTTAGATCTAGCACCTGAAGCAACGGATTTCTCACGTCTTGGTTGTCAAATAAAGTTAACGGAAGAAGATCTACCGGGCGTAGAGGTCATCGTACCGTCCGAAATTCGTGATGCAAGAGCCAACGATTAGCCGACTGCTTTTTCCTAGAATTCAAAACAATCTCGATCTTCATGCTGGAGAAAATACTGCTGAAAATTGAAGTAAAAATATATCAAACTGCTTTTGATTCTTCACTACTCAGCACTTCCAAAAATACATTTGTTGGGTAACTTACCCAAAATTGATAGCTTGATTTAAAGTCCCACAGCGTTCATTGAGCATGTATGACAGGTTCAATTTAGATAACTTGTCGAGTCTGATAATGAGGTTTTTTATAGCAATACCAAAAAAAAACAAATTATGAAAATTAAAACAGAGTAATAAGGTCAAATACATTGATCTCTGGAACCATCAAAACTTCAGTCAGAATCCGAACTGTTATGCTTTTTACGCTTTTTCTCCTTCTTGTGCTTCTTCCTTCTTTTTGCTCGCTCAGAATCCGAATCACTGGCATGCTTTTTTGAATGTTTTTTCTTCTTTTTCCTGAAAATGCCAAAAATAAGAAAATCGAAGATAAAGGCATAAAAAAGCGGAACTATAGAAAACTTACTTTTGCTTCTCGTCCACTGATCCTATTGACGCTGATCGCTTCCTAAAAGTAGCGAAATATTATTTATATATATTTTATTTATATTTATATTTACTATCCAATAAAAACGCAAGCACTTCATTTAGACATGATTACTATGTTTATATTGCAAACCCTTTCAACAATATCATGTCTAAACACATTCCCTGCAGGTTTCAGATTCAAAAAACTCAGTTGTGTCAAAATTAGCAAAAACTATGATTTTCGCATCATATTCAAAATTTTTTAAAATGGCACCTCGAAATAACCGTACATTTTTAAATGTTTTTTTACCAGTCTTTTCAAATGAAACATGAGATTAGTCTATGCTTTTTATATTTATAAAAAGCATAGACTAATCTCATGTTTAATCTCAAAGCATAGACTAATCTCAAAGCTTCGATATCGATATAAAAAGCTATAGCTAGCTCCCCTAAGGAGAAAGATACGTTAAAATAAGTTCAAAAGCGTCGCAAACGAAAATGATATCGAAGCAGAAATGAACAGTATTGAGACAACATGATACTCTTTGATTACATATTGGTAAAATACAAATATTAAGAAATCCTTCACCTTTTGCGACGCTCATTACTCCGACTTCGTCTTCGAGTCTCTTCTTTTCGTTCTGTAAATTTTCGGCGCGGCGGAGATCTGAAGTTTTAAACATTTTTGAATTTCCATTGAAAAAGTTTATTTTATTGAAGAGTAAAACAGTTCATTTATAAATTTCTGGAAAATGTATCTTGCATTTTACTCTCGAAAAGCATACTTTCCCAGTTCGTTAAAATACTTATTCCATTAATCGGTAATTTTGCATTCAATTCATCTCCGGATATATTGATAATAAATTCCGACAACATACCTGTTAGGAGAACGATAACGTTCTTTTCTCCTTTCCATTCGTTCATCATGAATATGTCGACGCGTGGGAGATCGGCTATGTGATCTCAACTTTTCATCCTTGAATTGTTTTTCCTCACCACGCTTTCTTTCAATTCCTAAAACAAAAACAAAAAGTTCAAACTTAAATCCATTTAAAAGTAACTATCTACTTTTTTACAATTTGAAAGTTCTTGACCATGTAAGATTTCACAAATTTAACATTAAAGGCATTCATCCTCCAAAATCTGTAAGCTAATTGTTACCACAGACTTAAACGTCTGGTTTCGAAAGCCTAAATATGAGCAAAATTAATATCGCTTAATCAATACTTGATCTGCACTGTTAGCTATAAACTTTGATGCTGTAGTAGCAATTGCAACAAAAGGGTTTCGCAACATTGTAACCCAAACCGAATACGCGAAAACAATGTCAGCCTCAAAGCGAATTTCTACGCAAACTCGGCTATAACTTAAGATTTCAATAAAGAAAAAGCTGAACCAAGCAAAATCATACTATCATCTCTGCTTTTGTCATTTTCCCGATCTCGATGACTTTTATGCCGATCTTCATCCTTTCTGCCCCGTTCACCTTCAGTGTTAGTTTTGCGCTCTCGATTGCCGTATCGTCCACCAGTCAAAGAATCGTACCGATTCTTCCAATCTGATCCAGCAACTTCAGCAGCCGCACCGTTGGAAGACGAGACACTCATATTTTTTGCCTGAAAATTTTAAAAATATCTTGAGAAGTTAATAATAAATCTATCTTTAAGCATATAAAGATTATCAAAATGACAAAATAATTACATCGTTTTTATTTCAGTCTACAAGGCATAATAAAAGAGAATCACCCCTGATCTCCTTGTACAAATTAAATGCAAGACAAAAAGGTTTTAGACGATAACCATACTTGCAGTGAGTAATAACCGAAAAACACTGCTGATAGCCAAATCACGTAAATACAATTCAAGAAAAGAATAAATACCTTCTCTTGTATTTCTTTCATCTTCTTTTCCACTAATGATGTTGGAATACCATCTTCGCTACTTTGTGCTTCAATCAACATACTCCACAATTCACCTGCAGTGAAATAATATAGATCTGAATGAAAAAGATTTCTATGATTTAATATACTGGTTTCAAACATAAGATATGTGAGACAAATCGGTCAATAAAAAGAACTTTTTTAGTCTTCTATACCGTACGGCGTGTTAGTAATCCTGAAATGTGAGCAAATTCTAAAATAATCCTATACAAAAGAATATGTTTATACTTCAGCTTAAGGCAAATGATGAAACGATTACCCATAAATTCCCGAGCTCGTCGGGCGTTAAGAAAACCAGTTAAATTGATCTGCATCACTTTCGGATTCAACGATTTTTCCTCCAACTGACTGAATACATATTCAATAACAACATCATCTTCTAAGCCCAGGATATCGTTCAACTTCGCAGTAATCCATGGTTTAAGCACGTCCAGATTCACTCGATCCATGCAGATCTTAACCTCACAAATTCACTCACGATCTCTTCAAAACATAACAATTAGTTTACAAATGAATACCAAAGCCTATACAATACATTACATCATGTCATTTATCTAATTTTGTTTGGCCTCTTTTATAACTCTTCCGAAAGATATCATTCAAATCCTTCAAACTGATCACTCAATTATCTATGCATCTTTCTCTACCTATCAATCGTACATGTTATAAAATAAATTAAATAGTTTAATGTTAAAAACAGAAAAAAAGTGTGTGACAAAAAATAAAAACAATTACCTTTGCTTTTTTTAAACTCGACTATACTCAAAGAAATAAAATTATGAAACGGCGTCGTGATTGGTAGAACATACACGGGAACTCGCACAATGGCATTAATATAGAAGGACGTGAATGGTTGGATTTGGACTTGTAATATACATAAGTTGCATCATCTCGGAGAAAAAAATATTACCTTTTCATCAAGTGCTTCCTCGAAACGCATTTGTTTCAGTAATTTGCGCTCCTTGTCGGTGAACCGGCTATCCTGTTCACTACTTGTTCCACGATAAAAACCTGCGTCAGCCATTTCGTCCCTTTATCAAATGAATAATTCTGACTGCTAAATGAGATATTTGTGGTTTAAATAGATCAGTGCTACCAATAATATTTCACCAGACCAAAATTCGGCGCAACGTCATGAAAGTATATTCAACAAGCACTGCTGAAACATGAACCTTGAGGAAAGGGAAAACAGCAGAAAGTATGAGAACTTTATATTGATACAACTCAGCAAATCTATAGTGAGGTTTAAAAATATTATTAAATTTAAAAATTCTGATGAAGAAAAAGAGCAGAAATTAACACGCGCTTTTAATGATATAACACAGCAAAAAATCACTTTAAGTTACTTTACGTATATGAATTACTTCAAGTATATGGCGCTCCGTACAATAGAGAGTTCCATCTTTTTTTGCTTTTGTAATTTAGTGCTTTTATTGTAAATCCAAATCAAAAAAACCAACTGGATTCATAATTTTTGGCCATAATCTAATATTGCATGTGTGAATTAAACATACTTTACGGATGAAGATTAAGAGTAATGATATCTGATGGCATCACTTATTACACCATAAAATCCTCTGATGAATATCCAAACTTAATTAACATTCCATAGATTAATGGAATAAAGTGAAGAATGTGTACGAACAACAACAATGGACACATAACGTCGCCAACGTTATGACCATTCGCACAGCGACATCACTATGATTACGTCGAGGTGCATGAGGGATCGACTCGCGATAATGAGACGTTCTCGAACCTAATCAATGACTGCAGGCAGTACGAGCGGGAAGATGCGTAATCAGTGGATATGACTTTCTCATGTAAATCAACGACTGAAGTTACCGAGTTCCTAGCTATTCCACAGATTATTCAAACTTCTCTCCACTGCCACCATTCGCCGAGACCCCCTAGTCCCCCATCCCGCATCCTTCGTTACTTCTTCATATCGCGCAAAAAACTCAAGGATGGTTGGCCGTGTACTGCCTGTCAGTGTTTCACGGCTCAGACAAAATTTGCAGACCGTGACGGAGTAGACCAGACGCGCTTGTGGATTTCGCGGGAATGGTAGGAGAAGAGGGGTTAATTGGGGTATTGTAACATTATAGGAAGATGTCTAAGTCTAGTGTAAGCTCACGATAGAAAGTCGACTTGGAGGTACAGTTCATAACGAAGCAGCCTTTCTCATAACTCAAATTTTCTCTGTTCATGCTTTTCAAATAGAAATGCCCTTTCTTGTGTCCAAAAATTCTCGACAAAAGAAATACAGTTTGGGTTGTATCATTTCAAATTGTGCGACTATACAGCTTCAAACCAGTTGAAGTCTTTTGAAAGGAATGAACGTATAATCTCTGCTTAATAATTTCTGCAACCGTTCTGCTTTATCAATTCTTCGCAGTATTTTTCAAAGCAGAATGTTTTCATTTTATTATATTACTTTACAACATTGATTTTCATACCTTTTAATTTAAGTAAAGTGAACAGTTTTAGGATAAGGATCTTCCATTTATCATCCTGAGAATATGAGTACTATGAATGAATCACAAAACTGATATCATTTTACAATGAACTGTCACCTGATGTTATAGCCCGAAGGATACGTTAAATTTTAATCTGCAGAACTGTCGGAAATATGATGGTGTTTTAAAGAAACTGATTTATTCCTTCGTTTTTCGCTCTTTTTTTGCGAGGAATTATTCCAAAAAAAAGCACAGTTTTTAAGATTTCTAAAAATCCCTTCTCCTGGAATTTCGTTATCTTCCTACTCTCACATGACATCATATATTCGTCTCAATAAAATTAGAACGAAATCACAGAAAAATGTGTCATAAAACTAATAAATCTACATAATCTAACATAATATCTAATATTTGACTAAATTTATATGGCCAATCCGTTGATATGTTAGTACAGCTCCAAAAACATCTATTACTGAAACGGTGTTTAAAACGATGGAGACTCAAACTTACTTGACTCATTATATTTTAAAGAACCGAATTTAATTCCTCATTAATTATTATGGACATTAAATTACTCAAGTAGAAACCTTTAGAGGAACTGACTAGACAGAATTATAAACAATTGCCTAATTATGTACAGAAAGTTAGTGAGAAGATACAACGAAAATAAGTTCCACTGAGTTGGGGAACAAAATTTCCCATAATGTACTTTTCAAGTCATTTTTGCATCTGTGTTCTTAGGTTTCAAGTGAACTAATTAAATTTAAAAAGTTTTCACTGAAATGCGAGCATGCAGCTCTAACTCCTACCTATGGGAAAAATATGACGCTAATGCTAATATTAGATGGATGAACAGAACTATGTGAAGATAAATTAAACTTAATTAACCTAATGATGGTTTACGACTTTTGGAATTTCCCACGGAAACCAATTTTCGACCAAAAAATCCCTAAAGGCTATGGCATGCACGGTGAAATACTGATAACAAGAAGAAGGTAGAACATGAAGAATTTGAAAACGATCTATTCGAGCAAATGCCGGATTCTCTTTCAATTCTCCCTTCCAAATATCCAACGTATCCATCGGTTTGCACTGAAATAGTATTTCAAATTTCTTTTCAAAGATATGGGAACTAGGAACAGTCTCATAAGATAAAAACACTCTACTATTTGTCGATTAATAATTTTCCAGACTTTGAGATTTGAGGTTTAAGATTTCATAAAAATAAAAAAACAGAAATATTAGCGAGAGAGATAAAAATAAGAAAATTATTGTCTCTTAATGTGGAATAAATTTGACGCTTTCATCTAGTACCGAAGCATTCTATCAAGTAAACCTTCAGCGCGGTTAAATATATCTTTCTCCGACCCATATATGGATTCTGAATTTTACTAAAATAAGTGAGGAATATTTCTGAAAAGACTTACAACAATTGCAAAATCATACATGACGATTTCGTTGATACGCACTTTCCGATTCCGTAACATTTCCAAAATAGTTCTGCAATGAAGTTCATATAACGCATTTATATTACAAAACTGTGTATATTTTTGCAGTAAAAATTGAAAAATCACCAGGAAAATATATATTTGCAGAAATTAGGTGACGGAAACGAAAAAATTAGCATCTAAACAATCTCTAAAAAATTTTCTATTAAGAAATAATTTTCTGAATTCTATAAATTGAACTGTTAAGACTTGTCACATGCCTCCTTGGTAAATTAGAGAAGAAATGGGCACAATCACAAAAGCATCTGCTATATTCTACCAGAACAAATAGAAAATATCTATTACAGTAAAATGTAAAAAGCAAACCTGGAAACAGTAATACCAGTAAATTTCTTAATAAGAATCCGACGATCGGGAGTGCGGATGGTGAATGAAAGGCGTTCAACAGAACCATCAATATACGTGCTCAACCTAAGGTCTTCTTCCTCAACTTTCAGCTCATTAACGGCTATTTCCGATGGCTTTTGTTGTTGACCTTTTTCATTCGTCCTTAATTTGTACAGTGTTTGTGCCAGCTTATCAGCATCTTCCCGCATATCTGACAGTGTCTTTGCAGTGTACATTTGTTCTCTTTTTCTCGGTTTTTTCCAAATCTCGACATATCCTTTTTTGGAAAATCTACTGTCGTTATCATTAATTGGATTTTCTGTTGTTCCACTAATGATTTCAACATACGACCTCCTTTTATTTGTCGTTTTGGTACGTATACTTATGTTCAATAATTTGTAAGACCGTCCATTTGAAGTTGAACTCAGTGTATGGCTATTTTTGTGATGCGAAAAATTCCATAAAATTGCAATTCGTCGAATTGGCGTAAAACGAAATGAAACTCTTAACATGAAGTCCATCCTGGAAAGAATTAAAAAATGTAACCTAATTTCCATGGTACAATTAGTGCACCGAAATTTCTTGAAAGAATTTGCTTAAAAATATAAAAAGCAAAAATTAGTTTTCCGTTCGTTAAAAAAAATAAAAAGCAAAAATGGCAAAAAAAAATCTGTATATATGGCATCATAAACTTGGAAAAAAAAGACCGATTTCTAATATACGGAAAATAATACATGAAAGAGACTATTTGGCAAATTTTTATGGATATAGTAGACCATAATGAAAAAACATTGGAAAACTTACATGAATACAACAATTTCAACAAAATTTCAAACATGTATATCATGTATATCAAGATAAAAATTAATGAAGTTTTCAAATTTAACGAATAAAAATTACTGGGTGGTAAGATCTGGTGAACAACATTTAATTTTTCCATCATTTAAGAATTTTTTAAAATACAGTGTTACTTGTATTTCTGACCCATTCTTACAAGCAGTCCTTGTACTCTCTGGCAAGTCCTCCAAAAATGATATCCGAACTTTCCCATTTTTCCCGAATGCAGACTCTATGCGACCTACCTCACCAGTAGAAAGATAAACATTCATGTCACAGTATATATCAATATTTGTTTCTTTTTTGAACAGAGAATTGCAAATTATGCTTCGTTCATTTTCGATTCGCTCAACTTTTCCAATTTTTTTCTTCCGCCGAAAACGACATATCTGTTTGTCGTTATCAAGTAATTTCAAAAATATACCATGAAAAACAAAGCGACAGCCTTTACCTTGATGGTCTAACCTGGACGTGATAAAAAAACTACCTTCTTTTGTGTATATAAATCGTTCCAAGCTAATTATTGCAAATTTTACAGTTTCATCCAATTCCTGTACTATTTCATAATGATCTTCTTCTTCGGAAAATGCTGAGGTCAGGAACTGGCATTGTCCAATAATAGTATCGAAACCAGTTGAAACATGTAATTTGGAACCCTTGCGAAGAACTCCTTGGAAGTGCTCTATTCGATTCACACTGACCAACAAGAACCGCACACGGCGCAGTGTTCCTGGTTCATATATAACTGTTCGATTAATATCATTGCTAGGAATATTGTGAAATAATAAAGCTGCTCGATCTCCTATTCCTGCACTACAAACATCTTCCTTCCAACGTTGCATACTTTTAATTTTACGTTTTTCTTGTAAAACTGCTATTTCCACATCCATCCCAACTCTGAAATACGGCACCGTCATATTCAAACATTTTAATTTCCTATTTTTTCTTATAAATCATAGGTGGCAGTATCAAATCTTTTTTTTAAATGATTATCTTCTGAAATCCGTATAACCGTACTTCAGCATAATTTCTAGGACAGATGACATTCAACCCTAATAAATCGTAATAGATATTTTAAATAAGTATGTGGTATTAGCAATTATAACAAATAGTAACTGATTTCGGAAAATTACAAAAAATCATTTGAAACAGTTGCAACATATTAAATTAAAAAAATTTACTTGCACATCCCATCGACAACAGTGCCTGTCATTATCGTACCTTTTCCTTTTATAGGAAAGCAGTGATCGACAAACATCATAAAATGGCCAGAAGAAACTCGCTGAGGTGTATAAAGCGCCAAACGCAAAGCATTTATTAATGCCACTATCGCTTCATCTTTATGCTCCATTAACGATATTGGTACAATTTGTAGATTTGAGTTTATTTTTAAGCTAGATGCTGCCTTCTTGCAACGTTTTGTCATTTGTTCCACTGCTTTCTCGTCTATTAAATCAATCTGAAACAGATGATTTCACCAAAAAACGAAAACAATATTTTGTTGGCAACCGAAATTAGAAGGATTTCTTGTGCAGAAAAGTCAATTAAATTATTTGATTTCAATTCAGTATTCAGCTCTTTTCATCTCGCGGTTTCTTTTTTCAATGAAAAATGAAATTTCAGTGATTTAATAGTAAAATTCCTCGAATGATGTAAAAATAAAGTATTTTTCAAAATTAAATTAAGCTTGATTTCAGATGATTGATATCTTGAGAAGAATATTGCTGAAATTGGTATAAATTTTATCAATTGTCCTAGTGTCAGAAAAACATGCAAAACATGCCTAAAGTCCAAATTTAATCGCTTACAGTCTATGATTCATACAAATTATAGTGGACGACTTCCAAGCTATTCGAATTTATTAATGAACAACCTTGTTAAGGATAAGAATAACATGGTCAGGACATAACAGTGATACAAGGAGAAGATGTTCGGCGGTTTGTTGCTCGATCCCTTTGCTGCTATCTATCACAACAAATGCCATATCAAAAACTGATGAAGCTGCAAGCACTGACCTACGAAAAATAAAAACATTCAAACAAATCTCATATTATTTTCAGCAAAAACATAATGAGCATAAAATTAACTATTTATGATTGCAAATATTAATTACCCATCTTTACACATATTTAAATAACATTTTAATAGTGACTGACCTCTTACTAATTTCAAACTAATGAATAGTACCTGATTAATGAAGCATGTCCAGGACAGTCTATTAGAGCAATTACTGTGTCATCGATGGTCAGTGTCGAGTAGCCAAGATCGATTGTATTAGCTCGAAGGTTGGAAGTTTTGGCATGCTTATCGAATGAAGCAGTTGAACCCATTGTGGATAATGCCCTCGCCAAAGTTGTTTTACCGCAGTCCACATGTCCCAGGATACCAACATTCAACGATTTTGTTGCTGCCAGTTTGCTTTGCTGCACTGTTCGTTTAATTATTATATTCCAGATGGACGAATGATGTGAGAGAAATACAAAAACGATTAACGAAATTTCAAATTTTAAATCAGCATCTGAGTCAAAATTCTGAAGGTTAAACTTTAGCAATCATTGAAATACTGTTGATATGACCATAATTTAAACTTGTAAACCTTGGAAATTAAAACTGTAAATGTAAAGTGAATGAGCCGAAATGTTCCAAAAAAATTTATGACAATATACAAGACGCTAACATGTAATCTGCAATGCTTCAGATGGTTGAAAATAACTTAGCCAAAAAAATTATGCCATAAATTAATGACCAAAAGTAATTCTTACATTTCCCCTTAGAGAACAGTTGCTCAACCATCTCCTCATCATCGCAGATCTGTGTTATAAATCAAAGAGAAATAGTATCCACGTTTCTATCATCAAAAATAACACAGTCCGTAGACAGACTTAAGAAAAGAACTTCATGTGAAATATTAAAATAACCAATTAAACTCATCAGCCGAATAAAATAATGAATGATTAAAAACTATATGAGATAAATAAAAGTGAAACTGGAGATATGAAATAAACGAAGGATCGAAAACAGCTCAAATAAAATTTTATTGCTTTACATATGTCAAAAAAAGCGACGTCTAGTAAGGAGCTACTTGAAATTTAGGATTTATTACATGCTTTATCTTGTCTTTGAAACGATCATAATTAAAAACAGCGAGAATTTTCTGTCACTGCTTGTGATGGACAAGCAACTCAATTTTTAGACGTTTTCTAATAATATTTCAAAATTCTCCCATTATATATCACCAATTAACTCCAGTTTAACTTCAGGAGCCTGCAACATTAGCATAGAAATTATACCAAAGTATAAAATTATCAATAACAATGAATGAAACTGAATAAATGAATGAATAAAAAATATTGAGTGAAATTGAATGAATGAATGAATCAAAAAATGAATGAAATTGTGAAATTGGCACAGTGAAAAGAAAGACCTTAAAAAACCAAGTTTTTGTAGAAAAAAATCGCAAAATGAAGTGAATTTATAATTATTACAATTAAATTAAATGAAATGATTGAAAATAAAATCCAAAGTGATAGCAACACTGGAAATTAGATCCAGAAATTCAAACGGTTTTAAATATAATAATGAAAATGAAAAAGAAACAAAGGAAAGCACAATTTTGAATTTTTGTTTAAAAGAATGACAATGATATTCAGACATCATGCTTTTTAAACACTATGTTTCAGCGTTAGGAATCATAGGCATACTATTCTTTTGAACAAAGATATAATTTAGAAAATTGATATCAAAAGCGAAATATAATAAAAAATAAAATTGATCCGAAACCAAATTAACCATCTTTTTTGCTATTTTACCACAAGAATAGTACATTCAAAAAATTCACTTAAGCATGAACCAAAAAAAAAACTGAATTCTTTTAATGAAAACTTCAGTCATTTCAATCGTAATCACTGTGATAGATAACCATTTGGATTCTTTGTCTGCCAATTCCACAAATCAAGACACATTTCTTCAAGACCATATTGACATTTCCAACCAAGTTTCTGGGCGGCTAACAATGGATTACAATAAACGCAGGCTACATCGCCTGGTCTAGGCAGACTATTTTCCGTTTTTATCTACAATTTTAAATTTCAAAACTTAAAATAAAACAAATAAAAACAATGGTAAAGAAACTGTTCTAACAATACAATTAATGCATGATAAACTTACTTGTTGCCCACTGACTTTTTCAAAAACGGTAACCATCTCCAAAACTGAATATCCTTTTCCAGTTCCAAGATTATAAACTTCACAACTAGAAATTTGCTGCTTAAGACGATCAAATGCTGCTACATGTCCTCGAGCCAAGTCCACAACGTGGATATAATCTCGTACACCGGTCCCTGAAAAGACGAAAATTTCAAATCGCTTTAAAAATTAAGATCAAGAACAAACTCATGCCATTAAGGCAAAAACTTAATTAATGAACAAATTTTAATGCTTAAATTACATAAAATCAAAAATTTTTATTGTCCAATTACTATTTTTTGATTTGTATTCTTTTTCGAAAAAACCATAGAAAAGCACGTAACCATCAGCAGTATCAAATTCGGTTCCGAATATGTACAACACTGGTAATTTTCCAATGGCCACTTGGCTCATGTACGGCATCAAATTGTTTGGAATTCCTTTCGGATCTTCACCAATGAGTCCACTAGGATGGGCACCCACGGGATTAAAATATCTTAGAATGATTATATTCCAGCTCTGAAATTTAAATAAGATAGTTCACATTTATCTAACATCAAAACTGAAATTTTTTTCTTAAGTATTCAACAAGGTAGTTGAACTTCTTTCCACAATTATTTTGATTGGTTATCTCTCACCTTATCAGAGTTAGCTAAATCCATCAAAATTCGTTCGATCATATATTTAGTGTAACCATAAGGATTAGTAATCGTACATCCGACCGGGTCAGTTTCTTTAATCGGTAAACTTTTTGGTGGTCCATAAACAGTTGCACTGCTCGAGAAAATAAAGCTCTTAACATTGTATTTTCCACATAGCTGCAAACATTTTTTTTAATGCATAATAATGAAAAAAAGCATTTAAATGGAAAACTTGGAGAAGAGCTGTCCCAGATATAACCAAATTCAATACATTAAACTGTATTCAGGATTACACTTTACGCGAAATATTCTGCAGTGATAAAACCTACGAAAAAATACAACCTTGAGTAAGACTAGTGTAGCAGTGAGATTATTACTATAATAACCAAGGGGATTTTTTACTGATTCACCAACTGCTTTCCAACCAGCCAAGTGAACCACACCACTAATCGAATACTGCAAAACAAATGAAAAGCAGCAATTATTGCAATCTATTTCTATGCCTGAAAAATGATTTGTTAAATACACTTGTTAGAAACCGCCTTCATTACTCGTATGATTAAACAAAACCAAATAAAAAGCAAACTTTTTCAAAAACGGCCTCGAGTTGTTTCTCATTACTGCAGTCAGCAAAAACAAACGGCACCTCTTTGTTTATAATTTGTGAAACACGTTTTAAACTGACCGCATTCCCATCGTTATCTTTAAAAACGGACTTTATTAATAAAAGGATTAAAAAAAGCAATATCTTAACAAAGCTAGTTCTGAAGATGGTAATATCACACAATTATTTCTAAAGTTTCAAAAACAATTTCAAATTTTATGGGATATATGCTTTCAAACAATTTATTTAATTCAGTGCTTGACCGAAACTAAATTTTTTATTTCGCTAATGTTAATAACTGTGCGTATGATAGCGTATAAATGAACCTTGCACAGAATTGGAGAAATTATCGATACATATAACATCATACCCAGCTTCAAGTAACTCCAGTGCAACATGGCTTCCAATAAAACCAGCGGCCCCAGTTACTAAAATTCTCATTGCACAAATAATCTTCTGAAAGAATGAATTATTTAAATCTTTCCTTTTAGCCATAGCGCAAATATAATTCTCGCCAGTACAGCTATCAATTACTTCACTAAACAATTTATGATTTATTTCAAGATCAAAATTCACAGACAATAATGATCAAGCACTTCTGTATTGTTCTTTACTGTTTCTTATACCAAGCAATTTTCTTCCACCGTTTCTTAGAAACTGAGCAACAAAAAAACCAACTGCTTCGATCGATGAACATTACTAACACATCACTGATACAATGTTGCAATAGTGCGATCAATAATAATATGGGTACATTTCTCTGTTGCGACTCTCAGCTATCTAAAGCATGCAAAATCAAAGCAGATATCACTTTCAAAATGAAGCGATTAATGTATTAGTTGCAGAAGGAATCAAAATAAATATATGTGGTCCAATGTCATCCTAACTGCCTTGAATTAGATCTTCCTCCCATAACTTGAGCAAGCAGCAATAAAACCTACTTATTAGTTGTATATAATTGCATTTCAATGAACATTTTATACTTAATTTTTATGTATTAACAGCACAATAAAATGGAAATCAGAGAATACAGTGAGAAATAAGTGTTCTTGTTCTTGTCTTTGCAACTAACAAATGCATGTTTATACAAAGAACATCTTTGAAAATGTGAGAAAAGCAAAAGAACATGAATTTTAATGAAAATAGAAATTGAGCAAATGAGTTCAAATATTATTCATTGTAATTTCACTTTCAATTCTTGAATTTATTTTTTAATTTCATTCCTTGTTTATATCCTTTCCTTCAATATATATTTTTTGCTCTCATCAAATACATTGCATACAGCGCTACATTAATTCCAAATGTTGTTCATAGATTTATGAACGAGATTTCAACTCGGGCACAAAATCGGCCATCATTTGCTGAACAGTTAATTCACGATGGGCTACATCTTTATCCAAAGTTACGATCTCAAAATCTGAACTAACTTTCACCACTGCAGCATTTGCAGCAGCATCTCGTACTAAAGTATTCCCTGCTTCCCTTGGGATTTCTTGTTCATCTATTGTTTCTAATGTTTCCGAGGACTGCGAACTTTCGCTCCTGGAAGAAAGCATTTCTTCGCCATATTCAAAATCAATTCGTGCACACTTCAGGGTTGTTTTAACTTTAACTGCTGACGGGTGCACTCGCTTCCTAACAACATTTCCAGCCTGTCCCATTCCAACATTTTCATGATTCTCTATATGATTTTCACTAACAAGTTCATTACTAATTGAAGTGCTGTTAGATTGTCTCTCCGGCATAGCTGACTCAGCCAAATTCTGAGAACCGTCAAGGTATATCTGCCGGTCACTCATCACAGCATCACTTAATTTCTTCAACAAATCTTCTTGAGATATCATTATGTGAATACGCGGTCGCGAAATAGAACAACACAACGCTCGGCCTAGACGTATTTCTTCGCACCAATTATCGCTGCCATTGAAGATGCTTTGTGCAATCTAAAAGTGAATGATAAATTCATTAATTTTGTGAGTTAAAAATAAAAGCAAAGATGAATATAAGTTAATTCCCCTAATAATGACCTGAATAGGCGACGGCACCAATTCATTGTTCATAGCTAGCAGTGAATTTAGCAATGATAGTGCCGGTCTACATTTTCGATTTTGGAAGGCTTCCTGACAAACTAAATGCTGCAGCTCTATCACATCCTGAATATCCAGTAGATAAGGTCTTAATTCCAGCATTGCACCCACCGCTTCAGCGTACGCTTTTCCATATTCCTGAAGGTGGGCATGTTGAAATAAACTTATTCAAAATAAAAACTTTTGGAAATAATACCACAGCTCCTGATGGCAATATCACATATATATAATGGGGCTAATTTTAATTTGATGGCCAAAATATCACACAGGATATTTTAGCATACTCACCTGCGAGTTCAACTGACACTTGGCAGAACGAATAAGGGTTCTGAAGAGAGCATTAACAGTCAGATTCGGTCCCAACTGAACATATTCTTTTACTGCTTCGTAATAAGCTTCACTTGGATGGGAAAAATCACTGATAAATGAGGAAATTCTTCGCACAGCAAGATGTGCACAGCTTTTAGCTTTTAATAAGAAAGTCTTTAACCATCGAAAAATGGAGTTTCTTTTTTCGGCTTCAATAATAGTTGCTGATTCAGATGCGATATCCAACCACTCATTTATAGCAATTTTGTCATCTGAAAATCAAGAAAAGTGTAAGGAGTAAATTTTTGATTAAATCTGCTTGTGTCAACGCTCAATTAGCTAGCAAATATTAAAATAAACAGCTAAAATCTGATTAAATCACTCATAAATTTAGAGACTAACAAATTGAGAAAGATTTCAATCACCAAAACATTGCAATTCTATTTTAAATAAGAATGTAGCAAACATGAAACATGCCAATTATCGCGGATAGTCTTTAACAAACATAATCTCTATAAATGCGCTTCACATAACTCTGTATAAAACATCAAATTAATACCTGGCGGACATCGTATCATTACTTCTGTATGCAAGTTAAAAATTGTAGTAATAAACTGCGGAAGGTGTCGTTGTACAGCTGTCTCAAAACGAAATAGTGTTTTCTCGTTCTCATCGTTTTCTTCAACAATCGAATCATTCAATATACTTTTCAGTGCCTTTATCAAGATATAATCATACTTAGTTCCTGCCCACAATGCATATATATTGGAAACGAGCCTATAAACAATTCAATAACTTCAAGCAAGGAATCACTATGCCAAACTGTTAATAAATAGATTAAAAATCAATTTAATGTTAGCATGATAAGCACAGATTGAAGACTACTAAATATAATACACTTCTTTTATTTACAAAATATACAATGAAAACTGCTTCGCTAAAAACGCACATAAGTCTTTAATCCGATTTTTCAATGTCAGCGATTTTCGTTTTAGTTAGCGTTCAGGAATTCTAATATTCTGGAATTTTTTCTTAATATATAAAATTTTCATATTAAATGTAATTTATAACAAGTAACCGAACTGAACTGAAAAATATACCTAGTAGTGTCTTCAGAACAACTTTTAACACTGAAATCCACGGCATGTGAGCAAATACATGCCAAAGTCTGTTCATTGAAATTTTTGAACCATTGAAAACAAACAAGGAATGAACGGACAAAGTGCAACAGAGGAATCGTAATTGGTTGTTTAAGAGCAGCAATCAACCTCTTCTAAAATGAACCAGTTGGAAAGAGAAGAGGGTAACATCTTGCATCATATATTCAGTAAATGATTTAGAACTGCAAAAAAAAATTTTAAACACCTGAATTCTTGATGAAATAGTTTTCAGCATCTCTTGATCACAAGCATAAACTAATTTCGCAAGCAGGGCCCATCCAAAAGCATCCTCCCCTGACAATTTTCCGCATTCTTCCACTAATGGAAGTAATTTTTTTCGTAATTTGATCGGATCCGTAATTGTTTCGAGCACATACCGCACTCTTTGTTGTTCCATATTACTGGAAGTACAGGAACGCAATTTTGGAGTTAATTTAAAAATCTCTTCCAGACTAATTTGTTATCAAGCGATTACATCTACATTATTACAGCGTACATTTACATGAAATTTAAACCAAGATGTAATTACAGATTACCACTGTGATGACAAAACTGAGCAACATCAAAAGTGTATTGAAGCATAAAGAAAGACTTTATTTAGTACATATATACAACATTAGAAAAAATAAGGAAGCAAGAAAATGCTAAACACCATGCATAGAAATATTATACTACTACTTTTCTCTAAGCATTATTCGAATCCCCTTGAGCAGCTTTTTTACGGGCGGCCCGTTTCAGTAACCGCCTTTCTCTTTCGAATTCTTTCATCCTCAAAATATGATCTTCATACTCACAGTTCTGCCATCCATGATAATCATCTATGCAATAATAATGCCCAAACGGAGCATACTGTCGCTAAAATATCAGCATTAAAATCTCGCAAAAATTATCAGTTTATTTTTTTACAATCACCAAATTTATGCCTTTTATATTTCTTTCGATATTTTTTCTTCACATACACAAAATCAAAAAATGAAATATGTTGCAGTGCAACTAAGAATTTATGAGTAACTACATTAAACTTCACACATATTTTTATTGCTCTTTGTATTCATTTTCCAAGAACTTCCATACTGTAAAAAAGATGGAGGAAAGGAAAGCAATAACACATGCGATTTATTTTTCATGTATTCATCAAACCGTTACTCATAAAAATCGGATTTCCTACGCATAATTCAATTAAGCCAAATTTCTATAAAATGTGATAACCTGGCACTTTTTGAGATTGATCAGTAAGTGAGCACAATAATCACGATCACCGAATTCTAGCTTCCAGTGATCCATTTCCTCCCATGTTGCCTTCATTTCACGCGGTTTTCGTCCTTTAGGAAATCCATAGAGTGGATCAAAAGTGGGAGGACGGTCTGTTCGAGGTGAAACTTCTGGGTCTTCCAGTGATACAGATAATCGAGTACCCATTCAGCTTCTTAACATTAACTGCAAGAAATTCTCTATCTTTGATGATTTCAACTGTTTGATAGAATGTTAACAAATTGCACAGAACAATGCAACAATTTCATCGTTATTTTCTGATCTATACATTTGACAAATTTTGTCAATATAGAAACAGAGAGCCATATTCTGCCCTCCATCCGCTAAGAAATGAAAAATTAAATCTCGAAAATTTGTTAAATTCTTATTAATTCATATATGGCCATAATGAACAGAAATGAAAGTTGCTTAATACAAATATATGCTCGCTAATCATCGAAGAACTCATGAACATCTCAGCAATATCATCAAAGATCTATAATGCTTAATTAGCTGATTTTGTAGAAGGACCCAAATTTCGCCTAGAGTTATACACTTACTTCAATCTCAATGTCATTGCCGTGAACGGAGGATAATAAGAACGTGGCTTCAACTTTCTCTAATCGATGGTCTAATTTATTAAGCAGTTATATCCACATATCATTATCGTCCATTTACATATTTACATGAAATATAGATCAACATGTTCTGTCATTCCATCGCATTTTCTGGTAAGATCTTCGTAAAGATTCCATCACTACGCAATTTTTTTATTTTTAACTATGCATAGCTGTATGGACTAACAGAAAAAAGCATATTTCATAGACTACTGCTTAAACTTGTAGAAAATAATAATGATGAAAACATAAGTTATATTCTACGTGTGTAGATGGAACGTTCCGTGTCGCTTCACAATAACTTGAATATAATGGCCTCTTGCAATCATATCTCGCATACTTTATCTATAAAATTATAGGAAGGTCTATTAAGGCTAAGCTGCAATCTAGATCTGAATTCCAATTCCGAAAGCATAGCCAGGTGATCCGTCGAGATGTCACGCAAGGTCACGAACCACTCAGAACCCCAACACCTCACCTTCATGATGCGATGGACTGGATGGAAGGAGAGTGAAGCCACGCTGACTGAGACGATTTGCTACAAATTTTTCCCTCAGATGGCATAGTGGAAGAATGGGCAATGACGGAACTCTGATTTGGGATGGATAATTCGTGGAGTAAAAACTTTCCGCGTTGTATTTGTGCCAGCATATGCATTAAGATGACCACAAAAATGGAATGCGGCCGGTTTAGTTGAATATTATTAATTTTATTGCATAGAAAAGCTTTTTCATCAGTTTATTTGACTCAACTGTCAACAGGGCATGATGTGACCTAAATCGATATCCATCATCATTTATTAGTAATTAGCGCCACAATTAATATGAGATTTGCATTTACCTTTTTTATGTGAATTACAATGCCACTGTGGTGATAGTGAATCTGATGGCCTTGAAATGTTTGAACTGACACTTTTTGACTTTTCTTCTGAGGTCCTTTAGTTAAATGCCGGAATTTATCTTGGCTTTGAGACTACCTAGGAATAAATTTATGCAAAAAATAATTCGAATATCAATAATATGCCTACATTTTTCCTGTTAATACATTAAATTTCCTTACAAAGGAAGTCGTAATAATTAAAGCAAACTGTTATGTGATTATTCAGCTAATTAATAAGTTGAAAGAAACTTGTTAAACAAAATAGACTGAAAAACAGGAATTAATGAGAAAAAGACAAGGAATATTGAATTTAAGATATGTGTGCATATTATCCACATCCTGCTGAATAACATTACATCATTCTAATCGTATTAAGTAGTTTGAATAAGTCACTAAAAGAATCACACTTGTGGTCGGTTTTGCTCTTTTGATTAGTATTTGATAAAATTATTTTTATTTTAGAGCATCGAATATTCTTTACATGTTTATTTCAGATTAGGTACTATGTTGTGGTACTTGTAAATTGCTTAAGTGTGTGTATTTCTTATTCTTCCCGGGTGTCAATCCCAGGAACATGTATGTTGCTTCACTTTTATTTATCTCGAATATATTGCTCGGTGAGTGATCATATTTTATTCGTTGTTTTTTTTTCACAAATTGCCAACTTTTTACTTAATACATATCAGTGCATTGCATTACAATTTATAACAATAATATTAGCAGTGCGCCAGTGTATGGTTACGTGTTTAGATTGTTTGATAAAAACTCACTCTATAGTATCAATTTATTTTATCAAATTTTCCTACAGTAACATTCTGTACATTTTGAAATACCGCTGGGCAGGCCTCTTTTAACTTTATCTCTGCCATCCAATGCATTTTCAGTAGGCGGCTTAAGCAGGTTCATAGATTGGTATGAAACACTCAGTTATGAGCCATTGGCTGGTCGAAGGAAACGGTCCCCTAATGGATTGTATGCACCTCTTAGTCTTCAATTTGCTTCACATAATAGGTATGTGAGATTTTCTTTCTTCCGAATTTTTACTAGCTAGATTGTTATTGTTTAATTTTCTTAGCTTTATTATATATGTAATGATGATATTATAGATCATTCCATTTAATTCTTCATTCACTGGATGACAGCTCCAGTGTGTTTAGCGATAATTTCATTTTTGATGTTGACGGAAAAGACGAACATGTATCAATGCGAGATTTTTTAGTGCATGGCCACGATAGAAGTGAGCATTATGCATTGTTTTATATTTGGTTATATTGCTAATTTTAAAAAAGAAATGTTATTGAAAAAAGAAATAAATGATTGCGATAGAAAAATAACGCGTATTCATTCATTCTTTTATGTGTCCTCTCATAATACCAATTATTTCAGATGATCCAGAATCCACATTGTACGGTTCATTTCGTGATGGAATATTTGATGGGCACATAATTTATGGTAATGGAGACTCTTATACTGTGGACAAAATCGACCGATATTTACATTGGAAGCATAGACCAAAACATTTCCATTCCATTATTTATTCAGGTAGAATTTGTAAATTATTTCAAATGACATACTTTATGAAATTTTCTAACGTTTCAGCATTGCATAGCTTGTTTTCTAACATAAAAATTATAGTGGTTATAAAGTAAATATAGGAGTCAGTTTTATTTGGAAAAACTTATTTGGATACTGCTAGTGGGAATGGCGAATCCGATTTGTTTTTCATTTTTAGATAGCTCAATTAATTTTTGGAAGCAAAGAAGGAAACGTTCAACGGAGGAAATCAATCAGAATTGTGGATTAAATCACACAATACAGCAAAAAATGGAAATTTTACAGAATGGCGTTATCTTTGAGGACGAAGAAAATGAGCAATCTTATCGAGACGGTGCATTTGATGAAAGGTTATTTATCAATTATCACTTCACGTCATATTTAATTTTAGTTGTTGGGAGCGTTGGTAAAATCTGAGATTTATCAAGTTTTTCATCAACAAGCAAATCACATGCGTTTGAATTTTAACTTAGAAGATTTCAGATATATATTTGAATCACGATTCAAACGAGCTGCAGAAGAAAAAGACATTAAAACAATTAACGGCAAACGGATTTATTCCGTCAGGTCAGCAAAACTTGATCGTGGTGTTGTAATTTTTTTCTTGACTAAATTAATCACATATTCCGCTTGTGCTATATTGAAGCAGTTTTTGTAATACTAACCGCTTTCAGAGCATGTTATGTCTACCTCCAAGCAGATCAGAAGCTTTACCAGCACGTTTATGAAAAAGAAGGGAATATGGATGACGTGAGGTATGTTTGGATGTATATTTTTTGGTAGTGAGATTTCAATTTGAATATGCAATTCAATTTTTTTGTGAATTTGCAAAATAAATCTCTATTTTTGAAGGACCCGGGAAGAGATTGCAAGTCTTTTTTATAATCATATCAAGGCAGTAAATCAAATTTATGAAAGTACGAGCTTTGGTGGTATCAATGGCATCACATTTGTTATACAACGAATCTCGGTTGTTATTTTATTTTATTTTTTCTACAAATGATTTCAAAAATTTAACTATTTTTTTATCTTCATCTATTTTTGTATTCTTATTAAATTTAACAAATTTGTCAAAATTGGAAAGTTTTTATATAATTTTTTAGCTTTATACTCCAAACACTTGTAAAGATGGCAAACCAAAAGGCGTGTCTCAAGAAAACCCATTTTGTGAAGAAAATGTCGATGTATCGAATTACTTGAATCTTAATTCTCGCAAAAATCACTCCGATTTTTGCTTAGCTTATGCATTCACATTTCGCGATTTTGTAGGAGGTACTTTAGGTCTTGCTTGGGTGGCCAGTCCAAATCACAGTAAGTTTGTTTTATTGATATCTCATTACGGTGAATTATTTAATAGGGAAAAAAATTTGTATTTGTGAATTTTTTTACCGAAGGTAAGAATTCATTTATAGCACTTATAGTTGATGAAATGACGAATTCAGAAAATAACGAAATATTTCAGATACAGCTGGTGGTATATGCCAGCAATATACGAAGTATAGCGAGGCATCGAACTTTGTTTATCGTTCACTTAATACAGGTATAATTACATTAGTGAACTATGGTAATCGTGTTCCCAATCGTGTGTCACAACTAACTTTGGCTCATGAAATCGGTCACAATTTTGGATCTCCGGTAGATTTTAATGTTTGGCATGTTTATTTGGTTTTTTTCTTGTTCTTTTTTTTGACCGGATTTTGCAACGCTGCCTTTCTAGCATGCTTAGAACTTTGAAAAGAAATAGTAATATTAAGAAACATGTATTGCATTTCAATTACTAGGATATAAGAATAGTTCCTAGCAATCTATGTACTTTATATTTAGTAAATAGTTTATCTTCACAATCACTCTTTATTTTCGAAATATTAATTTCGGTTTGCTTTTTTAAAGCAATCTATTTTTTTTAGCATGACTATCCGCTGGAATGTCAGCCAGGATTACCGGATGGAAATTATATCATGTTCGCTTCTGCAACGTCAGGGGATAAAAAGAATAATGCGCAATTTTCAAATTGTTCAATAGCAAATATTACTTTGGTGCTTACCGAAGTATGCCCTAAAAACAAAATTCATTTGATTGGATATTTTGAAAATTTTAATCCTACACTTTGAAAGATAGAAAATAAGGGAAATACTCCCCTAAAAGGAATATTATGCGATCGAAAATAGCTTATATGAAATATTTCAATATGATTAGGACGAATTGAAAGTTGCGTCATTTCAGGTTCTGCAACAACGACCAATTGACAGCGAAGCTACATTAAGGATAGGTGGTTTTGGTAACTTGGGTGCGGGAAAGCGAAACTGCTTCAGAGGTACAGCTTATTTTCTTAAGTGATTTTCTATTTCTTTAATTTTTTATTTCGGGTGCTTTAATTATATCCACGTTATTTGTAGAAGCAAAATCATCTTTCTGTGGAAATCAGGTAAAGGAACCTGGAGAAGATTGCGATTGCGGATACAATGCTGAAGATTGTCAAACAATGAAGGATAACTGTTGTAATTCCCGTCAATCTGGACCTGCCTCCCGCTGTAAACGTATTCCTTCTGCACAGTGCAGTCCGTCTGAAGGACCATGCTGTGACGCTTCCAACTGTCAGCCATACGCTTCTAGAAAGTAAGCCAGATTAATGGCTAATCGACAGATAAATAAAAAGAAAGAGGAAAGTAAAAAAGCTAAAAGGAAGGGCAGTAAATATTATACAGTGCATAAGATTGAGAGAATGAAACTGAAGAAAGATATTGGTGATGTTTAGCAGCATTCATATTTTTAGGACGTGTCGGGCAGAATCGGAATGTTTAAAACAACAACAATGTAACAGTGAAAGTCCAGAATGTCCGCCATCTGATCCTAAAGAAAATGGTCTACCATGTCAAGATTCGACTAAAGTGTGTAACGATGGTAATTGCAATGGCTCAGTTTGTGCGCAGGTTATTTTACTTGACCAGTTGAAAATGATACAATCATTGAGAGGGCTTTTTAACATTTGAGTGAATATATCATTGGGTCTTTCTTAAATTAATAACTCAATAAACTTCTATGTCGTGGGATGGACTTACATCAGTCGTTTGATTCAGAAAAAGGACTCCGATTTATCTGATTTTTTTTTGCATGGTTTATTTTCTACATTGCTAAGTGCGTCAATAATCCTTATTGCTACAGCATACATTTTGAATCATATTTCATGTCGCTATTCTTGCTTTTTATGTTTTGAAATATAGTGCTTAGATGATGTCGACTATGTTGGTATGTACGGTATGTATGTCATTTATAAATAGTTGTAGGTAGGATTGAAGGACTGCTTTCTGACAGTGGGATCACCGGAACATCTTTGTCACTTGGCATGCGAAGACGAAAATGGAAGTAAATTATTTTTTCTAATTTTTTGAGTCATCTCATACATTTTCTTTTTCTTTTACTTTATTTCTGAATACTGAAGCCAGATTTTGTGCGGCATGATTCGTCGTACTTGCAGCTTGCCGTTCCAGTCTTACGCTACCGCAATTTGCTGTCGGTAAATACAAGCAATCTGGTCGAAAAAATAAACCTGGGTTGATTCTTCTTCCTGGTTCTCCATGCAACAACTACAAAGGTAGTTTCCAAATTCGTTATTGTCCGATTTGGTCTTCTGTGTTTACTCATGGCTTATCAAAGAAAAAAATCAACTGTAATTCATATTAAAGGTTACTGTGACATCTTTCGGAAATGTAGAAGTGTAGATGCTGATGGGCCATTAGCACGTCTTAAGAATGTCATATTTAACCCCAAAACGTTGTATGAAGTCAAATATTGGATTCAGGTAAGTATTTAATCCTTTTCTGCTTCGAAAAAATGTTCGGACAACTAATCTATTTTTTTCGCGAACATATTTTTTCCGAGGTACTTACATATACGTATCTTCAGGTGAACTGGTGGGCTGTTGTTCTTGGTGGTCTCGGTCTTCTGCTTTTCATGACACTTTTTATCAAGATCTGCGCTGTACATACTCCTAGTACCAATCCCAATAAAGCTCCAGCCTTAAACATCTATGATACTCTCCGTCGTCCAAAGAACCTCATTCAGCGCAAACATGGCCGTGGAGCACATCAGGCATAGTTATTTATTTTTATTCTGCTTTAAATTATTTGGAATGCCGAATAATTTCAGTACTTTTATTCTAAATTAGATTTGAATAGTTCGAGCATTCAATTACAACTTAAGAAGGAATTGAGTTTTATTGTTAAGATTTGTACAACCGCTAGTGGACGACAAGCTGCGGGCCATTCAGAAGATAATGAAGGAGTAAGCAGTCGCGCGGGATTTCGACCAGCACCCTCAGCACCACCTTTACCACCTCCACCGACTAGCGTCCTTGTCATAGAGCCACCACCGCCTTACACGGCTTCTGTTCCGGGATCTTCCGTTGCACTTGGTGGCCCAAAACGCGGCCATCGAAGGAACCGTAGGCGAAATGATGTTGAAATGCGGATTAAAAATCGGCGGAATTAGTGGTGATAGTTTTAATTTGATAATGCTCACTGGTAATATCGAACCGTTATCTCCTCTTTTCATCCTCTTCTGTTAATTTCAAGATCTCTTCTCCGCAGTTAAGCGTTGGAAACGGTCCATTTTCTGTTCTTTGTTTCAATTTTTTCTGTCATTATTGTGTTTCAGTTTTTTTGTTATTTAATACAAGCTCAAATTTGATTATGTTGTTCATGCTAGACATAAGACTTTTATGGATGCTGCAATTTTCGAACAGAAATCATTGTGGGAAAGGAAAAGGTCTTATTCATTTCATTCCTTTTTTTAAACATTCGCTCTTTTTAGTTTCAATTTTTGCTATTAGATCAAATTTCAAAATGTGAAACACAAAATAAGTTTCTGAATATTCTTGGAAGAATCGCTCTTTAAGTCATTTTTCAGCCGATACTCTTAAGAACACTCGTTGCTATGTCTTTTCCTGAATCCTATTTTTGTCGTTTAGGAGTGCCTGGTACGACTATTCCTGAAATTAAAGCATATCATCCTGTGATATTCATTCTTCTGATAAGTTCAGGATTGTGCCCCGTGGATGGAATTTCTCATACGAATGAAATTCCAAAATGCATCTCATACAAGTGCTGCTTTAATTTTTCTAACAGGTAGCCCTTCTGTAAATTCTTTTAGATGTTGATCATTTTTAAAATGCTATGACAAACTTGTCTTTCCTCGTGTCTTATTTTAAAAACGAATTTCTTTCACTGCCCTCACATGATTTTCTCTTTTTCATGCCTATTTTTACATTTTTACATTCCCGCATCATTGTTCAATTGACGTTTCGTTTGTTTTCTTTATCAACATTATTGTTTCCTTTTATTGCAAATGTGCTCCGAACCATATTATGTGATGGTTTTCTTCTGACGTTGCCTTGTCCTCACATATAGTTACTTTCGTTTGATGCTGCTCTTTTCTGTGTCTTTATCAAGAATTTTAGGATAATAAAGATAAGATGCTTTAGCTGAATGAGATGATGAAAATTGAAGCATTTATATTATTTGCACAGAATAACCAGAAAAATTATATTTTGTGTGCTCGAATCAGTGGTGTCGGAAAATCATGAAGAATCAAAATCATCAATTTTTGGAACCAATTTAGTGCTCGAATATCACCCTATTATATTGAGCCTCCATTTTTTGATACTTTCCAAATGTGCGATTTACATGTAAAATGTGCTATGTCAAATGTTTGCGTGCTAAACAATTGATATGGTTGATTTTAACACGGTCGACACTTTGTAAAGAGCAAATATTTCCTGGCTTTTAACAGCTTTCATTTTTTCTGTTATTTCCATTTCATAGCTGGAATCGTAAATTTGATTAATAAGGTTTAGAATGTAAGATTTATCTAAGCAGTAAGATATTATTTTGATTACTCTCATATCGTTGAAAAAATAAGTAGTCGGTTGGCTGTGCGTTGATGTTTCTGAAGCCTTGCCAACTAACGGTGGATCATCAGTGGTCAAACAGTCACTTTATGCAAGTTCTTTAAGCATAGAAGATTGTATAGTCGAAATAATACGTTTATACAGATTATATCAGTGTGATAAGGTGTTATGAAGTGTGATACCATAATGAATTAAAATCATTTGAAACTGTTGAACACTACTATCCAACTTCCTGGCAAGATGTTTAAAAAATCCAGCAATTTTCCTAGGTTAAATTTTATAGATATTTAATGAATGAAGTTATGATGTTTCGAGAGAAAAATCTTTAAGTTGATTTATTTCATTGTTTTAACTTTGACTTTATGATTTATTTTATTGTTTTTTTCTTATTCATTCCTTTTCTCATGCTAACTCATTTTTTAGAATAAAGGTATAATTTCACTTGCAAGGTGGTTCCACACTTTAATAGTTGCTGTTACTGCTGTGTTATTATAACAAAATCTCTAAATACAAATCATAAGGTCAAATAGAATAATGGATGGATCAGATATTGCAGAGTGAAGCAATTTTTTTATTTTTTTGCGCATTCTTATATAGCTGTAAACTGCATTGCACTATTTATTTAGAGGATACATTTCATCGGTGCTTTAGTGATCATCTGAATTATCTTCGGTGGGTATTACTAGTGCAAAATGTAAACTACAGCAAAGAAGATAGCAAATAATTTCTCCGAAGCGGAGTTAGAAGTTAGCTACTATAACAGTTATAATTATTATAGATGCTCTTATAACTCGTGTATTGAACCGTGATGAGGTTATCTAATCGCTTCAATATGTATTAAAGTCATTCTAGGTAATGAGTTGATGAAATTGGACAATGTTAAGTAATTGTTTAACAGTATTAATGCGTCGTTCGGCTCGATACTCATTGATTGCTCAGCGTCACTTATTATCGAAAAAATTTGTATTAAATGAAGAGTGGCACAGTAGACATCATGCACTTAGTGAACTCGGTATAGAAGGATCATATGAATGGATCACTGCTGTACAGAAAAAATTTGTCAGTGCTGGAATGGCCAGGTATGCAGAAGTATTTTCTATTTATCTATTAGTAATATCTACGAATATCATTCACTTTTCCTTCTAGAACAAATGATTTAGACGTACTAATATAAATAGGTTAATCAATTCTAGTAAGAAATTTTTCAACACACTTAAGATCGTTTGTGAATTATTAAATAGTACTGTTTGCCGTTTGTATTGAAAGACAAATCGAAAATATTCGACAAGCAATAAAAAAAAAAAAATGTTCCTTCGCTCTTTCCTGTTGCTTTTTTGATATTTTTGATTTGTTTCTTCATGTGTTTTGGGAATCAAGACTAACTATTTTATTTGTGACAATGATATTTTGCAGTGCGGTAGATGTTGATGCAGCGGTTTGTATAGCAGAGGAGGAGGACCAGCTAGATGATGTGTTAAAAATTGTGTACAAGTTACGGCACATTGAAATGACTGGTAGAATGCTGCCTTCAACAGAATATGCCCTCATCAGGTTGCTTCTGAAACACCACAAAACCGACATTCTTCTTGCAATTTTAGCTGATCCTGTAAGCAGTCTACTCTTTAAAAAACTCCATAAACTACGTTTGATGTAATGAAAAGAGAGATAATTCTTTTCTTCTAAACACAATTTTCTCAACAATGAACTTAATTTAGTGAGAATATTTGGTTAATGCTGTCAGCATGTACTAATTACAATGTAGCATATGTAGCTGTCAATTATAAAAAATTATCACAATTCATTATTCATAAGAAACAATGGAAATTGTTTTGGGAACTTTTCATTGTTGTTTATTTTTTATTTTTTCTATCACCTTTATTGTAAACATCACTAATACGGCAATCATTTTATATGATAATTACTCAGATCACAATATTTCAAACTAATGATGTTAGCTCAGTGTTTTTCGGCATTTGCAATCTTTTCAAAGGAAGCGCATTTTTCTAAAGTTTTACAATGTTTCGTGAGGCTGTATTAATTTTTTTGATTTTTTCAGATTAATTATGGGATCTTTTTGAATGAGCACTCAGCTTGTTTGGTTATAGATAATTTTTTGGAGGCCGGTAAGATTCCAGGTAAGGACTAAAATCAGGTTTTAGTTTGATTCTTGAAATTTCATTCTTATGTATGTATTGATTAAATCATGTAAAGTGTTTGTTGATCCAGCAAGTAGTAATCTATTTCTAGATGCTTCACGAGTCGCCAGTTACGTAATGCTTCAAGAAATGTTCCAATCAGCTTTACTGAATTGGTTATGTATTTATAGCAGTTTGAAATGGATTGAATTACCTGCTGAACAAAGAGTATTCGAGGAACTCCCATCTCTGGATTATATTGCTGCCAGAGAAAGCGATTCAGGGAGTATAGAAGATGAAGACGAAGTGCGTCAGAACGATAATTTATTTCATTTTTCTCAAATAAAAGTCTCAGCCTTCATTTTTTTTTCAATATATATACATATATTCCGGTATATTTGGGTGATTATTCTTGCCAGTTCTGTATTCACCATAGATTAGTATCTAACAAATCTTGGGTCACTACGTTGAAGATCAAACAATTGGTGATTTTATTAATTCGCTTATTTCAAGTTCAACAAACTTAAGTGACGAAGAATATAAAATGCTATTGCTAACTCGGTTTTAAAAATATCCAGCATTACTCAAATTACATGCACATCTCAAGTAATTTGTACAAAAAAGTTATAGATAACCTTCAAATTCCCATATTTGAAAAACGAATACAACGATATGCATTTTGATCTCAGTGATCCAGATCAGCTTGTTGGGAAGAATTTACTCTGGTTTAGTCGCTGTATTTCACTAAGTGAAGAAGAAGCTAGAAATATTCGCTTAATAGGATCTATATTTTTTGGCAATTATGTTTTGGCAAAACAACTGCTTCAAGCGACGGATATTTTTTCATCGACAGTTGCAATTTGTCAATCCAAATTAGAACAACTAATAGTTAAAACAAATGATGTTAAAGAATCGAAGGATGAAAATCCTTCCGAAAACGCTGTAGAAGAATTAAAGGTTAGTAATTTGATAAACTGATGAAATCCAGCAAGAAGCTTTTTCATGTAGCATAATTACTGGATTTATGGAATTTTATTGCAAAAAAGATAAATTCATCACTTCATCTTTTTTAGGGAATTATCGATAAGATTGAAAGAAAGAACATGGACGAGAAACTATCAGATATAATTATGAAGCATCTGAAGGCTGTACAGAATAAGGAGGAGAAAAATCTAATAGAAATACAGCGCAATACCTTCCTTAACTGGAAACAGAATCGTGCGGATCTCATCAAGGCTCAGGTATTTCAAGCAAAATATTAAAACTAGGATTTGATTTTTTTTGCGAATAGCATTCTTGGATTCTGAATTGAAGGTTGTTCTCCGGTATTAAATTAAAAGAAAATTTCAATGTGCACTAGAATTTCTTATTGAATTTAGGTTGAACAACTCGATTTAAAATTGCGATTGAAAGAAATCTGTGAAGAACGGCAAAAATTATGGGATCGTTGGGAAATGTTGAATTTTTTCGAAAATCGTTTGAAGTGGGAAGATATAGCAGCTGTGAAAGAAGAGCTTCTAAAGACTGATCAGGGTAAAAGAAAAAGTAAAGAAGACTTAGAGCAGGAATATGTAGATGAAATATTTTACAAGAAAAGCGCTAAAAAGTCTTGACCAGCCCAAATCTTTATGGAGTCGACTTAGCTTTGCAATTTAAATATGAATTTGAAATAGCTTTAATTGGCCAATGCTTGAATCATTCGCTTTTGAATTCCATAACGCAGTTGTAGTGTACTGTAAATTCGTTTTTCTCCATGCTGCTTATGGTACTTGCTTGCAATCTTGTTCTAATTTTGAATTGCCATTTGAATATGAATTTGCGTGATGTTCACGTTGTCATAAAAATAAATATTGTAATTTGTCTCAAAACTTACTCTGAAGGAGTCCTTTTGCATCGTTCATATTGCTGTGAGACAGAGGTAGCGCAAGCATAATGGCTTGGAAGAAAATTGTCGTAAGATAGAAAGATGAGAGAGACGGTTTTTAGAATTCATTCGTGGTATTATTTTCCGCCACAGCTTCTTGAGCAGGCAAATACAATTCTCTATTGTGTAATAATTCTTTAATTATTCCCTTGCACTGATGTTTTAATATTAATTGCAGATTCATTTGTAAAATGCACAACTGAATGGCATCGAAAGAGTTGCAAACGCGCTGTCGCATACGTAAGTTTAGAGGCACGTGTTGCCGAATTTACTCATTCAACCTAAAATTTTTCTAATTTTCTTCACTAGATTCAATTTTCTATCAGTTTCTTAGATACATTATGCTTTTCAGTGGCAGAACGCTTATCGGAGAGTACGCATATTGTTGACCACGATCCGTCGTTGGCCCTCTATCGATTACATGTATGTTTGGCTGTGACATCAAACTAATCCAAATTTTACTTTTACTCAGAATCCAGAAAAAAAATCCATACAGCCTTATTTTTCTTCCCTTCATAAATCAGTTTCACGGAATATATTTTACAATAATTTATTTTCAATCGCCTAGAAATTCTGAATAATCTATTCCTTTGCATGGGGAACATTCTTTGTATCAAAGCATTGATTGAAGCAGTCACTTTTTTATTTCACTTTTTTGTTTCTGCGAGGAGTTTGCTGTATTTTTAGGATCAGATAGTACTTCCTAATGTAATTAGAAGAAAAATGAACAGCAGTAAGATATTCATGAAAAATTCTCTTTGTCAAAGTAGGACTTAACAGAAAATTCAAACAGCATGGATTCATTATGCACATAAATCGAATTGATTAAGTTTAATATTCAGTCTAGAAACTTAAAAAAATATATTTCCAGGAACATGTTGGAAAAACTCTACCCCTACTCGTGGCTCGGAAACATACAATGGCTGATTTCAATTCCCGCCTCCAAGGTGCATGTTTCGACCTGGACAATGTTCTTTTGTAAGCCATATTTTTTTATTGAATAATTTTTATTAATATTTTAACTCGCTTAGAAATGTAATACGAAAGATCGCTCAAGGCATTAATTGTTGTTCTACTTCTGAAAAGTAAATTACATTACAGAACAATGCAGTCAATGAAAAAGGCTGCAGCGAATTTCGAGAACATTCAGGTAATGCTTCGAGATTGCGTGCATCATAAACAACAACTAAACTGCTCAACTAAATGATATATTAAATAAAAAAAAATCATAGAAGAAGTATATTTTAATTTATAAATGCGAAATAAACAAGGGAGATTCCGCTGCAACAACTTAAACTATTCAACAGTATAAAACTTGTAACAAAAGGAAAATCTTATTCATATAAGATCTGTCAACAAAAGTGCATGCTTTTGTTCAGTAATGTACGTAACATAATAACATTTAATTTTACTTTCTAATGTTTTAAAAATTCCTGGGTGAAGATTTATGATGTTGACGGCGTCTTCTTCATTAAATGTAAAGAGAACCATCAGCTGGTCCAATATAACCAACACCAATCAAGACAACATCTACGAATGTCCAAATACCCAAGCCACCAAAGCTAAATAGTTTTCCTATTGCACTTTTCCACATTCCCAAGTAAAAACGATCGGCACCAAAGCCTCCAAGTGTAATTGAAAGGAACATCGCTTTCCACCAGCTGTATCCCGAGGACCAGTTGCATCTGCAAATAAAATTATGAATCAAGTAACAGCAAAAACATATTAGTCTCGTTAACCATGTTTGAATGGTCGAAAACTTAGTAGTACACACTTTGTTCTTTTAGCGCATGAAGCAAATATATAATGGGAATTTTGCAATTTTATATGTGCTTTTACATACTTTTAGACAAAGGAATGCCGTAAATTGACAAACAAATAACAGTTACAAATTAAGTTTTGTATCAGTTACAAATAACAAATTAATTGGCAGGCTATAGCCGCTCCCAACTACATAAATCTTAGCGAAATGTTAGTTTAGTTATAAGTTGTGGCATCAGTGACTTGGAAGCATGAAAGTAAGAAGAATAAGATGTTTCATCAAACTCGAAAGTTTATTCGCAATAAACCTACCTCACATTCTTGTAGAAGGCTCGTCGACCTTTGCATATGACCCACTGATGTACCTGACACGTTGTGCGAAATAGCCGAGTAGCCACTGTCGAACAGTTGCGTATCTTTAATATCCTACTTTATAATATGTGATATCTTTGTCTTATTTCAAATATTAAAAAATGCTTGGCATATGATGCACTCACTACTTTTCTGCTTAATATTTCGAAGTATAAATAACACTTCAGTTGAGTACCTATCTTCAAATTTTCAGATCTAATTCTTTCAAATATCAGTTTGACCAATTTACTATTGGTAAAACTAATATTTGAGAAAAAAGGTCGTAAAATAATGGAATTTATTATTTTATGATGATCTTTCGGTGTGATGATAAAATAATACCGGAACGCAGTGATGCTCTGTAACATCAGTCTGCCAACAATACCGGCATTTTGCTTCTTTTTGCAATGTATACTGACCAGCACACTGCCTCTTCGTAGTGCAATTTACAGTTATTACGGCTCCGTATTCACATTCTGGAAATTTGCAATCCACGCAAGAACCGTATAGTGGACAATCTGCTTTACCGCAACTATAAAAAGGGATTTTGTAATGAATGCATGAAGAGAATAATAAATTACAGTTTTCATATTTGACTATTTACTCCTTCACTTTATTCCCAACAACTTGTGTTATCGAATTATTTCATTTTGAAAGCTCCGAAAAAAAAAACAATGCATTTAACTTAAATCTTAAGTATTCAACAGACACTGCAATAATGAGAGGTGTATATTTCGAAAATACTTACAAAGAGTCATCATCTCTTGGAGGCTTTTCATCAGTCTTCATTAAATCATTTCCTGTACAAAAAATGAAATATGTTGTTAATGAAAGCAGGACATAAGTCATGCTGAATATTTGACCATACTGCCAACTTACAACCTAACATAAACAAAACATAAAGTAGTTCACAATGAATGCAATTAATAGCGAAATAGTATTATTTGGACTACTAATTACCACTTTCCTTGGTAGTTTGGTGTAACAGAATACCATAACTGTTTAATCTTTTAATTATCCATACCACATCTTTTGAGTCTGATAAGGAAAGAAATGAAAGCCTTTAAACAGATACCATGTCTCAATCTAAAAAATGTAGATAGATTTTTTACACGGCATTACTTTGCTCAGGATTTACTCAGGTTTTCCTTCCGTGCAAAGCATAATCAAAGTCAGTTTCGTAAACGGTATATATCTGGGACTGTAATGCTTCCACAAATGACATCCGGATTGAACCGTATTTGATAATGATAGTGATATCGAGCATAACAACTGGTTTATTTCAGAATTTCCCAAACGAAATAAATTAAATTGAAGACAAAAAATGCTATTTGAAGTGTAAAGTATAAAATGCAATTAAGGTATCACAATTTATTTAGGAAAGAGCAGCACTAATGAACTGTGCAACGGGACGCAAATCTGCAGGAATGTTCAATCGGACGAATGAACAATCAAGAAGATCTTCGTGCTTCCATCGTTTTGTTTCATCCACAATAACACTATAACTTTAAATCTAAATAGTAAATTAATCAAGCAAATAAGTCTACATTACAAAGATTCCTTTAATGTGCAGAAATGCATGATCCTAAGCATTGTCTTCAGAACTAATGTTTCCAGCGTTAATTCATCTTCTGGAACTTATTCGACACCATGAATACAATAAAAAAAGTATGCAATAACATTGAAGCATTTGAAGGTAAAAAAGCGTTGGGGTTTTAAATCGAATCATCCCCTCATTAGACTGTCGGTGATTCTACTAAAGTAATTTGAAATGTGATTTAAAAAATTGTTCCACTCATTCTAAATGTTTCCTTCGCTATTATCATCCCTAAAAGTCTAGTCAACGTGTTGTTTACTACTACAACATACATACCAGTTCCTCACTACGTCCACAAAGTCAGCTGGAAGATGTTCAACATCAAAAGAATTCATAATATTGAAATTCTTGTCAAAAAGGGCTTCCATTGCAGTCGAAACATCTTTACAAGTACTCACTGTCAATGGAAATTTTCCAATGGCCAGCTCACATATTGTCAAACCAAAGCTCCACATATCTGAACATATTCTGAAAAGGTTCGGATTAAATTAACTATCTATAATAATGGTTGAGAAATTTGAAAAAAATTAACGGTCAGGCATGCACAAAATATTAAGTCCCAGATAAGCAGTTATCGAGAAAAAAACGTCTCAAAGGCGTTCCATGCTGAATTTTTCTCTTGACTGCCTTAAATTACTCACAGTGCTATCATAAAAACAATTACGCAATTCCTATTAAAAAGCCAATTAATCTAAAGATATTTAAGTTTCACTTTGAAAGCCGAAAAATTATGTCATTTGAATATTTTAGACATTTAAAGATACCTGTAAGGACCACCCTGTACACGTTCAGGAGCCATGTACGCACTTGTACCAACGAAACTGCGAGCTACAGATCGTTCCAGTTGTTTCGAAACTCCAAAATCAGAAATTTTGACGTCACCACGCGTATTCACCAGTATGTTGCTTGGCTTTATATCTGTAATTTTTTGAATGAAAACAAGAGAACTTTAAAACAATCCTTACATTCAGCAGTATATTCAATGAAAACAATCGTTTTATGAAACAAAAGGATAAGAAACGCTCACACGTTTAGTTCCAGCATTTATATTTAAAAAAATCGGAGATAAAGCAAAAAAAAAGGATGCGAAATGAAACAGAAAAATCGTCTGCAAACAAGAAACAAAATTAACCTCTGTGCATCACTTTATGCGTCCAAAGATGATGAAGCCCGCAGATAATAGAAATAGCTGCAGGAACAAGTACCGAAACAGGCAATTTTTTATATCGATCCAATGAGCAGCCATCCATAAACTCCATACACAAGCATAGTTCACCATCAAGAAGTGCAGCCAATAAGAAATTTACGATGTATGGACTGCAAGAATACTGTACAAGACAAAATCAGTGATTCAAGCAAAATCATAAAGTGCTTTCCATTTTAAATTACAAGCAAACTGAGGCATATCTTCCTCTCCACTCTATATATTTATCATGTTTGCACTTAGTATCATCTTATTAAGACTAATTAGATATTCATCGCAGAAAATTAATTGGAGAGAACATTTTTTGCAGCCTAATTTCTTGTTTTTTGAATTCGAGTATTCTTTAGTCATAATCCTTTGTCTCAAACATCTCTATTGAGAACTAAACTTATAATTGGAATAGATACCTTGCTAAGAAGCTGTACTTCTCGAGCAACAACAAGATGTCCGCCACAACCATCAACAGAGATACATTTTAGTGCCACAATCCGATCATGTTCCACGTCTAAGGCTCTGAAAGTTGAACTTTATTTCTTACTGAATAAGATTTGAAAATCTGTATCTTTTACTTCTGTTTTCCCCTCTTCTCTGCTGAATAATTATCAAAAAAAACTAACTTGTAAACAGTGCCAGAATAACCGAATCCAATAATGTCAAGCCGCTTCAACATATCCGGCATAATGCTTACTAAATTATCATCCAAAAGAGGCCCATCTTTCGAAACTGGTAACAATTGTTTACCATTACTTTTCTAATTACTAGAGCTTTTCCTTTAATAAGATAGCTTCGAAAAATTATTAAAAATGAACTTGTCGATATTTCATAAAGCAAGCGGAAAGAGAAAAAAGAAGTATATGTATAGCAATATGTGCGTTCCATTTCTTTTTTCAATTTATGGCATAAACTAATTTCAGATGAAATCTAGAAGTATTAACTAATTTCAGAAAGTATTAAATCTAGAAGTATTAACTAATTAACTAATTTCAGATGAAATCTAGAAGTACTAACTTAAATGAATTCTTAGCGGATGAATTCTCGATGAAGACAACATAGCAGCAAGCTCTTCATTGGTTCGAACAGCCACAAGGTCCCCGTCTTCATCTTCATCTAAAACAAATATTGTTTTTTTCTTCAAACATAAGTAATATCATTTTAAATTGAGTTCTCCCAGCAAGATAAGCTTTATTAAATCAAAGTCTATTATTACACTTGACAGATATGGTTAGTCTCACTAGCAAAGTTTAAATTTAATTCACGCAAAATCGCCACTAAAATGGCTAAAGTAAATTTGTAAGAAGAATAGATTTAGTTTGATATACTAAGTTATTTTATCTGTAACGTTACAATTAATATCTTACAATAATTGATTATCTGTACGAGTGAAGAAGTTAATGTACAAATATGTATATTGATAGTTCCATTCCACCCAGATAATTGAGACTCTCAAATAAGATTAAAAAGTTTATTGGAAAGATAAGTGATAAAGGAATTAGGTATAATTCCTTCACAGGCAATCACATCACAGAAAATTCTAGCTTTTAATTTCACAAAGTAAATAATAAAATTTCTAAGAATTTAACTAAAGAACAAAAAAAAAAGATAACACGAACAGCGGAAATGTTGGAAATGCTGGTTAGGTGATATAGCGGCAAGAAATGTGTCAAGAAATGCAGTGGCGATATCGTCTACGGTGACCCCACGTTCTTTACCACTCGATTCATCGAGAACGATAACGTTTAGTACCATTCCAAAACGAAGAACGCCACTGATTACTGACGATGTTACTTATCTGCAACTATCTTATTAGATAATCGTAATCATATTTTTTCGGAAAAAGAGTGCGTGTAGATATTTCGGAACTGAATGAGATCTAAACAAAAGTAACTTTCTTCCTGTCCATGTCGCGATATCAGTTCATCCATCTATTTATCAAAAAAAGAAAGAGAGAGAGAGAGAGCGGAGCACTCGTTATTCCTTCTACTTCAGCAGTCGATTATGTTTTGCAATCAATTTAAAGGAGTAATTTTTCTCCTCACTTCTCTCTCCTCTCTCTCTCTCTCTCTTCTCTTCCTCTCTCTCTCTTCCACTCTCGATTCGATTGGAAAAGAAGAATGAAATGAAAGTAAAAGGAATCTTGAAAAATTATGGATGATATTGGAAATTGTAGCAGAATATACCTCATCATCTTTCTTATATTTCAGCAAAAGAATATCTTTTCCATGGCCTGAACTATCCTTTTCTGCCATCCTTCTGTACAAATCCGCTTCACAAATTCAAGTACAATTTGCATCAATTTCATTCATTCTTATTTCGTTATCAATCATTCCTTAAAAAGTAATTTCGATGTAAATTCGTACATAAAATTTTATGAACAGATGAGATCACAAGATTGATTGATTAGTCGATCGATTAATTCAGAATAACAAAGATTAGTCAGTATACGTTCTCATCTATGCACTTCGTGCGCTTTTTGCGTGCTGCAAATTTCAATAAGTGCAGCTGTTATTCTGATTGGATCAATTTTGATAGAATTTGTCATACGGACAACAACGCATCATTTAGCGAATGTTGTCACAACTGATCAGTCATTCCGATCATCTCTCTATCATGATCGATAGCTCAGTGATTTGCTGTGAAGAAAAGAAAAGAAAGGAGGAACTGTACTTGTATCTCTTCTCACATACAGCCACAGAGCAAAAAAAACAGAAAAAAGGATATAAAGATAAGTCACAGTTATGTGATACGATCGGATCGGATCGGATTGGATTGGATTGGATTGAGTCGATAGCAGAAAGACATTATTTTGTATTTTTAAAGAAAAAATTTCTAAATAAATAATCTAAATAATTAGAAAGAGAGTATTTGCAGTATGGTGATATGAATATCTCCCGATGGCTGCTTGCTGCAATAGCAACGACAGAGTTTGCGTGGCGTGCAGCGTGCACCCACCACATTTGTTTATTTTTGAATAGCATTTTTCTTTATGGCATTTAGGATTGATAGCTATTCGTTGTGTTTTCTGCATCGGTTCTCCCATTTTTCAGTTTATTGATTTTTGATAACCCAAAGAGGGTTCGTGATGATCGTTTTCTTCAAGAAAACGAAATATCGTTTGCTCAGTTGCTGAAGCAGTAGGGGAAAAAAGGCATATGTTTCTTTCAAAATAGCTGGAAACTTTAAAATTTAAAGAAATATTTATTTTGGTATGCGTTAGAAAAATATCTTCAGATTGTTTTATTAATCATTACGACTTTCAATGCTATTCACAGATAATTAATTGTTCAGGTAATGCAATGGATGTGATTGTAAATATTATTTGTATTAATTGTAAACTCTATTTTATAAGCTTTTAAAAGCAATTTAATAATAAAAGCATTCGACTTTATGCTTATTTTAATATAAATATTTGTATACATAATAATATGCATACATTTTTCACTCTGGTTACTTACCTGGCAATATGGTCTTTTTTTATTTATTCATTTAAAATTCCGCATTTTTTACCTTCGCTTTCATAGAATGTATGATATGCATAAAAGACGAAAGAATTGCTGAGTTGAAAAATAGAAATATATGTGTATTTAATTTCATAACAATTGTATACGCCGCTGATTAGTGGAGGTACATTACACTGTTGAATGTGTCAACTGCACATCATTCGGAAGGTAAAAAAAAAAAAAAAAAAACTTGCTGATATTCATTAAGCAAATTTAGCAAACTTTGTTTAGGTAAAATTCTAAACATACGATTATTTCTTGGATCAATCATTTCCATCCGAATAAACGAAACGAGATATCAATTTTTATTTGGTTGTATTGAGAGATAATTCCCGAGAAAAATATGATGTGTTACGTGTACAATTCACTGTTTGAACAGCTTTATAATGGAAATTAAGCGTACTTCTATGACGAATTCTCACCTGCTCTTATGTTAAAATATATTTTATCTATTAAAATATTATGCTCCCACTTTATATTTCGTTTTTTGGCGTTATTTCTGTTTTCCAGTTATTTTTATTAAGAAAGCATATAAAAAGTTAGTGGCTATATTTTTTGTTAAATTCTTTAAACATATTTATACAGTAGCATTTCGTCTTCTTATCGAATAGTGAGGATTAGAAATTGAAACGTACGTTTAGGAACGTATTTCGTGAAAAAAACAATTGTAAGAAATGAATAAATTCCAGATGGTTTGGCAGCACGGATCGCTATTGCTATTGGTATTATATGTAATGAATATTCATGGTACATTGAGATCAGATGATGAACCGAAAGGACCAAAAGTTACCGATAAGGTGAAAGTGGCATAATCTTTTCCTGATCATTTTCCTTTCACTATTTTCTTATCCTAATGCATGAAGAAAGTACCATGACGCAAAGAATGAAAAAAACATTATCAAGTAAATTACAAATATGACAAATGCACATGTCAGAATGCTAGCAAATTCACGTTGCAAAAGGCAATACAATCTGTTTGTTAGATCATTTCCACTTATTCCTTCCTATTCTTTTACTTCTTTTATCTGTCTTCCGTACTTACGTAGTATCTTCTCGCTGTTTATTTTCTTTCAGTGTTTTCCATTCCCAAATAGGAAAACTAAAATTACTTTTAAATAATATATTTTTTTTTTAAATCGTTATTTTGTAGGTTCTTTTAACGATAAAAATAGGAGATGAAGAAGCAGGCACGATAACAATTGGCTTATTTGGAAAGACAGTTCCGAAAACTGTAAAAAATTTCATTCAGTTATCAAAGAATGCAGAAGGAGTAAGTCTATTTTTTGAAGAAAAAATTTAACTTTTTTGTAGCTAAATTAATTCGCTGTAACCGACTTGCTTGTCAATGAATTTCAAGCGCAAAATTTCGAGAGATTTCCAGTTAACGGGCAGACCATCCTCAACTCTTTTTGAATTTTCAGGAAGGATATACTGGCTCGAAATTCCATCGAATTATCAAAGACTTCATGGTACAAGGTGGAGACTTCACTAAAGTAAAAATTTTTCTTAAATAATATTTTCTCTAGTAGTAAACCATATATGTTTTTTTTTACTGCTGTCTTAGTTCATTATTAAAAAAAAACAGCTTAGCTCGATGGCAGACACTTTTCAGTAAGACACGATAGTTGATTATGAATTCTTGCTTCCCCCTGATATTACTTAAAATACTTGTTCGCTCCAGGGTGATGGTACCGGCAGTAAATCTATCTACGGTGAGAAATTCGCCGATGAAAATTTCAAACTAAAGCATTATGGTGCAGGATGGGTTAGTATGGCAAATGATGGACCAGATTCGAACGGTTCTCAGTTCTTCATTACTTTAAAAAAAACACCTTGGCTCGATGGCAGACACGTCGTTTTCGGCAAGGTACTATATAGCTGATTATGAATTCTTCCCTGTATGTAGTTCTCTTTTGCTTTATTTTCAGGTCCTCGATGGAATGAAAGTGGTAAGGAAAATGGAGAACACGAAAACAGTAAAGCCTGGTGACAGGCCCGTAAAGGATGTTATAATCGTAAAGGCGGAACATATTATTGTAGATGCTCCATTTCCGATCCACAAGGCTGATGCGGAAGAATAAGTAAGACTCTCTTTTCGAAAACGATCTACAAATTTCCAAATTATAATTCATCTGTATCTGTTAAGACAAGGAAACTTTCGGTAGTTTCAGGGAACAATTCAATTGTTTTTGTTGTTGTTGTTGTCAATTATTTGAGTGTTTTATTGGTTAATAAATTAGGGATAAAAGAGTACAAATCAACATAATTGTACAAAAGAGCAAAGAAAAGTTCAAAGCTATTTGAAAAAGCTGGATATCCTAAATCTTAGCTAATATGAAAGATTTGCCTTTCAAAATGGAAAAGCAAAATCAGTACCATTTAGGAGAAGAAAGCTTTAATACGAAAACTGGTACAGTCTCCCGAACAAAGGTTAATTAGGAACAGTTGTGCGTTCTCACCCAAGAAATAAATCTTCACATCTACTTTTGAGCTCTCAATCGTTTCCAACTCTAATTCACCGGTTGGAGGTACCACTGCACATATGTCACCGCAACAAATAATTGCTTTTATTACACCCTGCAATGATTCTTACAGAGTTAATTAGAAATCCTACTCATTTTCTTGCAATTAAAATGACTACAGATATCTAAATCATTATTCTCGTCAATCGACGATGTCTGTAACAGAATAAGTCTAATACAGGAGTTTGCAATTGAATTTTAGAGATGTGGAAATTGCGCAACATATTTTTGGGATTTTAGTAATCTAGTATGATTCTGTTATGTTGACCTTTGTATTAACACAGAGTTAATAATCAGCTTTAAGTTAATGAACCAATTGAACTTATTTCAGAAATACTGTGCAATTAACTGGTAGTTCTGAATACGCTTGTACATATTTCAGACAATATTATCTTTCATTACCTCTAACTGTTCATCAAATAGCGCCTGGACATTACTGAAACACAATCCATGACGAATATAATCCTGAACTTTAAAGTTATCCAGAATATGTCTTGATAATTTATGATTAATAGTAAATTAAATTTATAAAACTTACATCACTTTCTTCTTTGACACCTTCTAGCCAAAACTTAATATTTTTGACGTGATGAACACCAAAATCAAACGACCAGCACAATTCACCACTCGTTTTACCCTCTTGGCAACACATATACGCCACATTGTTTGTTTGGTCCACTACTCGACAGACATTTTCTTGCTTACTAAGCAAGTTTTCCCAACCCTTTATTAATTCAACACCCCTTTTGTACTGATCTTTCGCACAGTCATATTCCAAACTGAAATATTTTTAAAAAATTGTTTTCTGGAATCTAATGACAGTAAATTTTGTATAATTTGTAACAGGCAATCAACTGCTTTTCTCACTCTCTACTTTTTTTCTTCCTTTTTTCTTTACCACAACTTAAATAAATTTTATTTTCTCTGTAAAATTATATCTGAATAATGTAAGCTAATGCAAAGAAATGGTTATTTGAGATAAAAATTCTCCTTTTTCTTACTGACTAGACAGTGTAGTTAACCTGAACACTTTATCAGAAATTTCTTTTTCGGTCGGCACAAGCACCCGACTAGTTGATTTTCCATCTCCCATTTCTCCTCGCTGTTTTCTCCATTCTTCCGATCCTGTTGTCCTTCCTTGCTCTTCCAGTTTATTTCCATCACGTATTTGCATAGTGGGACTGATGAATTCAACCAGTTCTTTCATATATCTTCTTTCCATTTCCTTCTTCCTCTCTTCCGACATCAAACTTGCATGACGGATGTTCAGTTTCTAAAGTTTTTGCAAGCACTTTATAGAGCATCTCAAAAGCTGATAAAAAAGAACAAATATTTTTTTTCATCGTGTTACTTCTTCGGAGCAATTTTTGAATCATTTTCATTATTTTATTCAACTGAGAAAATCATCTTTTATTTTTACAAATGCTTGCTTCTTGAATAAAATTGCTTACTCGTATGAAATTTCTCAAAACTGTTTCTCGACAAGAATTTCGTCTACTAAGCGTTTCAAAATGATTGAAAGTATATCTCCATGTAACATCGCGTACGTGATCCAAACCAAAGGCGAATACATAACTTAAGTTCTTTCCCCATCCCTTGAAATCGAAAACACGTAGTGACCGATTACTGTTCATATTTAAAAGCTTATGCAAGAAAGTTTCTAATTAAAAAAAAAGATAATTGCTTATTAAAATAAATCGTAGTACCGTCAGTTTAAATCGCTTAGCAATACAATTTTCTACACAAGTTAAGAAATGAAGGAGTGAATTGAATGATACATGAAAGTTTTAAATATATATATAAGTATCTATGGAATGCATATGTAGCAATGTCAAAAAGAACCTTTTCATATAACAAAGGAGTGTCAATTACATTTTCGCATGGATCACAATGTACCCATCTGTCTAAATCTTCTATCCATATTTCACACCAAACATGATCTGTAATATCGTAAACCCACCTGAAAAGGAGATTTTTTTTTTAACTGATCATTCCTGATGTTAGCAAAATATATATACATAATGTACATAACATATTCTAGGTCTGAGCTAGCACTACAGTGCTTAAGAATAGAGAAGAACTGTATCATTAAGGCTCATTCATGAAGAAAAAGATGAAATTAGAAAACTACAAAAAAAAAACAGCAGATTTTAAATTACCATGAAAATGAACTTGAATTCTATTCCTATTTTGAATTACTTCATTGATACCAATAATATTTCTAATTTGGAGGGTAAGAATCGGGAAGAAAAGCACAACAAATGTTGCAGACATCAAGGAGTATGAGCTTAAAATTTACTTAGTGTTTGCGTAGTTCATGTTTTAAGAAATGATAAGTCCTTGTTTAAAACAGGGATATGTCACTTCTTAAAATAAAGTTTAAAACAGCTTTGTCTACGCAATATAAAAAGAAGGCGATTAATGTTTTCATTTTATATCATTTTATAGCGATTAATACTTTCATTTTTATACTTCACACTTCATACAATGCTCCTTTAAAACAAATTATGTGACAATGCTATAACATTAGGATGATGAATTTCAACCTTACCGTGTTTCAAGACCTAATGAACGTGAGCATAGCGTGAAACAGTTCGCCCATTCACCACATCTGCCACATCTAAACTGTGGAGCATGCAGCAAAAGTTATATTTACATGAATACATCACAAAAAGCATATGAACTTACGGAAATTAAAAAATAAGCAACCTTGTTTCCAATAATTTGACTGGATCATTATAACGTGGAAAGCGAACATTTGTGTCACATTTTCGACATTTGTAAGCTTCAATACGATAGGCACCCCACTTTTGTTCTTCTTCCGTTGGACCTCCTTGCACTTCTAGAGAAAATCCCTCTGTATAAGTTGAGTCTCCAATAAATTATGCAAAAGTTTTAAAATTGAGAACCAACAAAAATTAATGTTAAATAAATTTTTCGTTCAGGTTTTCTAACCTCCAGATTTTTCTGCATTCTGCCCACATAATTCACATTTCGGGACGTCAGTCCACACAAAGAAATCCGTTTTGAACCAATTTAATAATAATTTCACAAGTTCAAATTTATTTATTTTCCCACTTATTCTGCTTGCCTCCATCAGTTTGTCACAAGGTATAAGACTTCTAGCTAATGTTTGTGATATTTCGTCTTCATAAATTTGCATCTGAAATGAAAATATATAGAACTGTTTGGATTAACTTTTTATTTAATGTTTTTGAAGTGATTTTTGTCTTAAAAGGAAACTGTAAAAATTGAATGGTCAAATATAACTGAATCAAACGAGTTTATATTTGGATTTGAAATAAAATTTTCCTATCTTTATCCATTAATAGTTGCTAAAAACTACCGAATATTAAATTACTTACCCGTTCTGAATATTTTACGAATTTTTCCAAGAAAATTCTTTCATCTGATGTTGCAATAATACTTTCCTTAAGCTGTTGCACAATCTTAGTTTCCAACACTTCCACGTTTGCGCCCATCATTCGGTCCACTTCACGGCCACTATATAAGAAAACAAAAGTAGGCATTGCATTAATCCCAAACTGAGTGCTCGTTTCTACAATTAATCTAATTAGGGTAATTTGCACAAGCTGGTGAGTGCTAAATTCTTAGAGATTTAAATATAAAAGCGTCATTCGGCAAATTTTAATATTTATTGTGTGACTGAAACCAGTTATACAAAAATTATTCATATAGGAATTAAAAATGAATTGATAATTTATAACGTTTATATGGAAGATAAAACTTAGTTTCGAAAAAACAAATAAATAAATAAAAGACCATACTGCAGCTAAATTTGAATAGGGACAAAATACAGAAAAAATCACTGTTAGCAAGTGGTTTATAAAGACAGAGAAAAAACGAACGTGGACATATTTCCACATTAACTTTGATAAAAACAACTTGTAGATACTTTTCAGACAGTCTTTCTATATGCGGTGAAATCATACGACACGGACCACACCACTCGGCATAGAAGTCGATGACAACAAGCTTCGTAGCTGCTTCTGCAATGAGTTGCGAGAAAGCCAAATCATCCGGTAGCTCACGAACAACCATCGCTCCGTATCCAATTAAAATATTCTGAAAACAAAACTAAACTGAATCTATATCACAAATAGAAGCACCAAATGCGCTTATTGAAGCAAATCATTTTGTGACTAAAAAATACATTCTCGTTTAATATAAATGACAACAACAAACATCGTATTAGTCCTCGAGCTTAAAAGTTGTGACTTCCGATAATTTAAAAAACGTGAAAGTAATTGGATTTAAACAGATCTTTCAACCAATAATATATCCAATTCCATTCCTGTGAATCATTATTTTATGCCACCTGTTCAACCTGCTCTATTCCATCCTATCTTGTTCCAAGTCAATCTGCTCTATTCCACCATATCTTATTCCAGGTCGACCTGCTCCACCTTATTCTATTCCACGTTAACTTGTTCCATTCCACTCTATTCCATTCCACGTGTCCAATTACAACGTCAAGGCACTTTCGTTATTTGTTGGGGGCGCGGAGAATTATTTGGAAATCGGAATTCATAAAATACGAGTGAAATAATTCTTTTAATTGTAAGTCTAGAAGTGTAATTCCGTTCCATTCATTACTGTCGAAATATTTCACTTGAAGTAAAACTATGCAATTCTGTACTATATGCGCTATTGAATTTAAAATTAAAAAAATTCATCTTTGCCCTTTCTTTTTTGAATGTCAATTGGTAGAGGAAAAGTTCAACTAAATAGAGCTCAGTCCGATATGTTAATTACTATACAAAAAACTTTTAAATAATTTTGAGGTTGTGACTGTTATGCTTATCCCGGAATCCATGAATTTTCCGTCAATTAAAAAAGATCTAAATTTCCCGAACTTTAAGAAGAATATATTGTCTTATTCTTTCTTAAATGTTGGCGATGTAAAAGATATTTCAAGAGAAAGGATGACGGATGCAATACTGCTTATTAATGATATCATCTCATAGTGAAATGAATTGTTCTATAATGTCAGAATATTGAATACTTTTTCTAATCAATAACTATAATTATTATATCATTTCTGTCATTCCAATACTTTTTTGCTATGTACCGCCATAGCTTTACTGCAAACTCTCAGAGGTTGAAAAGCGGATCAGTCGACATATTTTAAAGCAGTGCCGAAAAAAATCTAACTTTCTTTGGATCTATCAAACAAGTTAAAATAATTGCTTTTCAAAAACAAGCGGATAGCTGACAAGAGAGGATACTCGACATTACGTACTGGGATTCCCTCATTCCCTCATTAGATCCAACTTTATCTGTTCTCAAAACCATAGTACACATTCAGAGAAAATACAATTTATGTTTATTCCATTTTCGTAAAAAAGCAAAAAGTTAAGAGGCTTAATGTTAAAGGGACGGCATTCAATTTGATGTTTGTGTATCATTGCTAGCATTGCTAGTACCTACGCAAGTTTTATATGGATTACGTCATTCTCCCACCTGTCTTATCCTTTATTCCATATAGAAAAAAAACTGCATCATTTTTGCTCAAACCGTTAATCTGTTAGCAAGATCCTTCTGCACTTACCTGATAATATTCCTTTGATTAATAACTAATATAGCAGATGCAATAGGAATTTTGTTACTTGTACACATTAAGATTCCCGAGCATACATAAATATTCAAACATCGAAAACGTATAATAATATACAATAATAAATATGATGAATACGATTTAATGATAAAACTACCTAATCGTAACGTTTATTAAACACGAATGGAGTAGTGGACACTCATGAAATCAGTAAATATACCACTATTGGATCATTTAATAATGCTCATTACAAAAGAACCGAATTAAAATTTATAATTTGATACAAAGCAAGTGTCTAATAAATTACGCAGATAGAACGAGCGTAGGAATGTGTCACTCATAATAAGAAACCTTAATTGGAAATCTTGATATTATATTACTCAAAAGCCTAAATAAAAAGTCCTTTCTGTGTCTTAATCCATAATTCCATCTCACGAAGATAAAATTATGTTTTCATAGATACTCCAAAATATAAACCCCATCAACTGCTAAACAATTATAAAATAATTTTAAACTCAATATTGTAAACAACGTACGTACAACAAAAAAATGACATTTTGTAAATAACAGAAATTCAATGAAGTTACAATAATGGCTGGGCTATTGAGGAAGAACTAATGGATGCTTCATCGGTAGAAAACCGTCGAGTTAGACCATCAGAGTCCGCACTGAGTATTTTACTTGTGATTCGATGCATATTCATTCGATTCTCCTGTTGTTCCTAAAAAAACTTAGATCATGAACTAATTTGAGGAACTAATGGAAAATGAAGATTTCAAACTTCCCCTTACATTTAAATCTTCAGGACACAAAGCGCGCTACACAACAGACTGAATTTTTGGCATTAAAAATTTCGAACTTAGAAAACTAAAAATACAAAACTTACTTGTAGCGTATATCTGCGAACAAAGAATGGTCGTACGAATAACTCGTTAAATTTATAAGCAGCTCCCTTATATGTATCTCTCTCATGTTTTCTATAGTTATCAATCTCTTCAGTGTCAGAACTCAAATGTTCCGACTGGTCGAATATAAACTTAAAGAGAATCGTAGAAAGTAATTAGAAATGTTAAAGTCCAAATTTAAAAGTAAGTTGTCATCTTTGACTAATGTGGTGTCGGAATGATTTTGAATTCAAAATCTTTTGCAAAATAAAATTTAAACACCACTTAAGAGAAAAATAACCAATACTGCAAATTTAACAGCAATCATTTAACCATTTCTTGCGTTTTACTCAGCAGCACGGCAGACTTATCTCCATCACTTGCAATTCGTATTCCTACACTCTTGCGGTGTTTCCTGTCCGGGAATACATTGCTTAACATCTGAAGTTTCAAATAACAAAAGTGCTGGACATTTAGGGATATATACAATTTTAATTTCAGTAGACATACATCCCGATTTTTGTAAATCAAAAGAGACGAAATTTTTAATGTTAACACAATTATATTATGGAAAATTAAAAAAGTTACTCGCAGCATAGGTAAAGTTGTACCGCCGAGAAAAATTATGGTAAATAACACGATAAAAAGTGTCGTTGTTAACAAAACTCTTTTTGTTTCCTCGTTTTCTATTGATATGTGCAAAGCTAACGCAAATGCGACGGCTCCTCTCATACCTGAAAATCCAACCGTCGAAGCAATGAAAAAATCAAGCAAAACTGTTTTGAAACTTCAAGCTACAAGTTCTGTTTATTATCCAAGGTTCAAGTCGTAAAAGTAAATATACGATAGCAAATTACGTCACCACTTTCATAACCTAAACTAAAGTCATATTTCAAAAGAATAAAGAGATAGAAAGCTAGTTCATCGAAATTCTGAAATGAAATTAATTAATATGAAACTTGCCACTATACCACATTATGAACTGATTCTTCATAGAAATCTGGGGACGACGACATTTATTGGCTAAATAAGCAAGAGGAAAAACATTGAAGGCACGGCCAATGAAGCAAAGCAACTGTAACAGTATACCTTTGAATGAAGTAACATAAATCTTCAGTCTTTCAGTAATATAGCGACCCGACGAAACTTTCAACGCCGATGGATTGCAAATGAGCTGATAATTGAGAAAGTTTACCGTTACTTGGCTTTCCTGTTAGATCATTCATAGTACAATAGAAATAGAAAACGCATGTTTAATAAACTGAAGAATGGAACTTACAATGCTCCATGATACAAACATTGGTTGAAATTGAAGTTTGATTGTGAACAAAGCCAGTCCCAAGTATGCAAACGTGCACGTTTCTTAAAATAACTTGACAATGATGAATGTCAAGCCGAATTTTTCAACATCAGTTTTATATCATGAAGACAAAACTTTCCTATATTTTTGTTCCTTTTGCATGTATGGAAAATTTACCTGCCACAAATGCCAATGTTCTGAAGGTCTGTTGCATGGTGATTTGTGTTATAGGTGAAATATTAAAATGAGTGTATTGGGACATGGTTATTGAGCAAAACAAAATTGCCATTATGCCTAAAACAATAGAAAAATAAAATGGAATACTACAAAAGCAAATAATTTGGATCAAAAAAAATTTTTCGTAGTAAAAACCTGAAAGTGAAATAGCTTCTGCAAGACCATATGGTAAGTATGCAAATATAAGTAATAAAGCGAACTCCAGTGATGGAGTCTTCCGTAGATCGACGTACTTGAACAACTGAAATAAACAACAGAAAGTTAACAACACTCGAACCTTGATATAATAACCAATTATTATTAAGACAAAAAATAAAACTAAAACTGAAGAATTAAAGAAATACCAGCGCTGAAAGAAATCCAACAAATGCACCGAGAAGAGCAGATATAAAAAAAATATAGGTAAATCTGGAGATTACTGGGAAAAACAAGCTGTCTAATGTTGAAGGTGAAACACTCTGGAGAGACATTTCTAGAGAAGCGGATGTTAGAACGATGGAAACGGCATCGTTAAGCATGGACTCGCCAAAAACAAGCATATATAGCATTCGCTCAACCTAAAAGTAAGCTTAATAGCAAAAACAATTAAGATATTTTGCTGAACCTGGAAAGCAGAAAGTAGTTCAAACTTGAAATTAACACGTTTTTCTGCCATCATTTCACTTCTTACAGAATCTCATTTAAATTTCTTTTTGAATCTGAAAAAATTACTAAATTATAAAAATGCAGTTATACAGGACTACGACTATCAGTATAAAAATTTGAAACAGAACAGTAAAAAACATACGTTTAATGCTTGAAAGATGGCAAGCGTTGCAACTGGATCCACAGCAGAAATCATTGAACCAAATGCAAAACTCTCTGCGGCACTCATTTTATATATTAAATCTGCCTGACAATAGAAAGAAAAAATATGAACTGAGTCCATAAATAGCAAATGTAATAAATATAAAACAAAACAACTGGAAAATTTTCCACTTGTCAAATATTTTGATTTATACAGGCTCTACTCTTTTTAAAAGACACATTACATACAATAAAAAGATTTTTTCACTCGCTAATACTTATTATTAAAATAACGAATTCAAAATCGGCTGTGCATTCTTGAAGAAATAACAATATATATCGCTGCTAAGACTCCAGATGACAAACCAAAGCAAATATTAATGGCTATTGCAAATACTGTAAATGATACGACTGATAACATATTCATGAACTTCACTTATACAAATTGAAACTCAGAAATAAACCATTCAATAAAAATGAACCTGGCCAAGGATGTACAACGCCGAACCGATAGTTAGAGCAGATATTACTGTTCCAAGCGTAGCAAATGATAAGATCGGGAACATATTTGTGAAAAAGTCGCCCTGCAGTAGTTAAAACTGTAAAACAAAAATTGTTACTAAATAAAATAAGGCACCGAGATGATTCAAGAAAAATCAATATCAGAGATGTGTTTCTTCTGAGCCAATCAGTTATTTTTACTTTATCAGTCTTACTTTGTGTAGATTGTAACCGCTTTCGAAAATAATCGGCGGAAGAAGAACAAGAAAGAATATATTCGGACTCAGTGTTTCGACTTCTGTCCAATCTCTTTTGCTGTATGAAAGCATCAAACCAATTATCGCACCTACAATTTTTCTCACATAGAATAAAATTACAAGATAATACAATTTGGCAAATGTGAAGAACTCAAGAAGAACTCATTGAAAAAATATCACGCCAACTGACGTATGGAGTTAAATGGTCAGGTTCCTTCGAGATCATCAATTGAGTAATGAGTAAGAGAGGTTTGTTTACTAGAAGAAATGAAAATCCGCGCTCCAACAACTGGACCGAAATTAACTTAAAGAGAAATTTCGTAATGAATAATGACAATATTTAACAAAAACTCCCCTAAAATGACTATGGCTAAGCTTTCTGGTATAAAATATAATTTAGACACGATAAGCATGTGCACAACCAGCGTTGACACAGCAATCACCATAAGTATGAAAAATATAGCCTGAAAAATTTTAGAATAAAGATGGAATGTTAAATACGTTCAGCGTTCAAACAAGGATTACTCTTCTTCGAAAAGAAAACGATTCACCATTGAACTTTTCTTTTCTTCCACATTTTCACTGTGTTCATCGATTGATAATATTGGTGGTTTTGTTGTCTTATTGTTAACGAAATCGCTATAAAATGAATAAATTAGCTAGTGTTAATTTTGACAATTTCTATCTAATGTCTTCAGTATTAAACTACGTTGAATTGTTATCTATGAAATTTCTTCAATTTCACAATAGTTCGACGTTATATGATACTTTTAATGCAAAAGCAAGAAATATTTCAAATTTTATTCACTGTTAACTTAGAAACTGAATGATCAATAACTCATTCAACAATTTATTTAGAAAAAACCACGCTTATTGTCAATCAGTATCTCACTCATCAATTTTTCATGTTTGCAATCTATTCAAACATTCTACTTAACCACCTGCTTTTTCCTTTGGTTTGTTTGACCCTAATTTCAACAACAAATCAATTATATCTCGTAAAACATTTACCACATATTTGCATCATTGAAACTTCAGGATTAACTATTAAGCTAATAAATAAATATCGAAGAATGCACACCTTTCTGTTCTGTTATGGCTACTGAGGTCTGTTTCGGAAAATAAATCTCCGCTAACTGAGAGTATCAGTAGGAACTTCAACAACTCGCCAATGCTAAACACGCTTCCCTTTCCAGTATTTGTATTCAGCATCCTTTTCCCTTCCAGCTTAAATTCTCTACAAATATTCATTTCATGGTTCATGCATGACTTCCATCATTTGTGTCTATCAATTCCAGCGATTTAACCCCAAAAGCGAAAAGATACTCCAAACGTTGATTGAGACTTATTTCACTCGATTTGAATAACTAATAAATTAAAAAAAGGAAGGTTGAAGTCAGAACGCAATTAAGCAGACATTAAAAGCGTAGAGAATTAAAAAGGTAAATGATGAACCCTGAATCATATTAGGAAGGGGAATAAAATAAGTCTTTTAATACAACATTCGGATTTGGATTTAGATGCTCCTAAATCAACGGATAATGCCACGAGCAACTCTCACGAGGCCGAAACTAGTCATCCAGACAAATATGAACCAAACACCGAAAAGTGCATTATAGTTAACGTCCCAGCTTTAATACCGAAACATGGGAAGCAAGCAATCCGATTTTTCCAAAAAAAAGTTTCAGGTCAAATAGCCACTACTCTTTGCGACATTATGTTCTGCCCAACAAACCACTCGGAAAGAAACAGATTTTATTGATCTGCATTCAAACAGTCCCATGAACATAAAAACACGGAAAAAGAAACAAACCTGAAAAGTAACATACGTTCCAAACACACAATCGAGAATTCAGGGTACAAAAATGGGAGGTAAACATTGCAAAAATGGGAATTAAGACATTCAAAAAGACTGATAAATTCAAAGGGATTGATGATTTAAACAAAGCATAAAAAAACTAATAACGGCTGCTTCATAATATTAAAAAGGACAAGTGACAATGAGGGTAACACTTATTGAAGGCAACAAACAAATGATCTCATTATTGCCACTCTTTGAAATTTGAATTTTGTTAACCAAGTATTTTAGCTTGAGTCAAGCTGTCCTAATAATAGCAACTAATAGAAAGATGAAAGTCAACAATAAAAATCAACTGGGAATTAAAAGAACAGTAACATTCATTCATGCTTTTCTCATAAACAATCAAACCAAAATGCTTTCAATGATGAAAGTAAAGTGGATAAAAGGACGGGCAATCAAACAAAAAGCAACATACTGCATCAAAGCAGATATTGCATCAAACAAACATACTGCATCAAAAGCAACCTAATCAGGTCACAGGAAATCAATTTTACTATCGTTTCGGAAATATTCCTATTGTTCTAAACTATATTGTCCATTTTATTCCTACTTCATTACATTCAGACCACTTACCTTACTTCAACAAACTGATAATTTAACCTGTGACGTCGTATTCATAAATATTCAAATTCTAATAATGAAAATAATAAACGAGACCATTACTTCGCGATAATTCATTAAGCCAGTCTTCTACATGACAGTACATCGTTGATCCGGATCCTGACCATCATCACTTACAAACTGTCCATATTGGAGCTCAGCAATGCTTTCTCTGGTAGCCATTTCATTGCCATCCGCGTCAACCAAAGCTGTTTTGACCCGATCACCTACAGGCCACTGCTGGTTCTTCATTACTAGCTGGGATGGTGGCGTATGTTTTTCACCACTGTCCGCACTCCAAACCTTCAATAAACTCAAGCAAAATCCATGAAATTGAATTAATGATGAGAACAGATAAAAACAATTTTCCACTCTTCATCTCGCTTCGTTCTTCCATATTTTCTCTCCATTTAAATGGCAAAAACAAGGGAGAGAAAAAAACTTTTCATACAAATTCAACTGTAGCTATTCAAAACAAAAGAAACTTCTAAGTTGAATAATATACATACAGTGATAGTATCACCAGGTTTCATCGTTTGTCTAGAATGGAATTTGTAGACAGTCTCTTTTTCACTAGTAATACTTTTTATGGCCCATTGACCAATTGAGATTGTTTCCTCGCCTTTATTGATTAACTTTATGAACTTCCCATTCGTGTCATGTTCCTCTATTTCGATATCGCAATCTGAATTCGAAGTCGTCTGAAATCAATTTTTTGACTTTAATTGAAACTTGCAGCACACAACATCTTCAAATAAAAGAAACATTTAAAAAACACATCTCAACATGAAGCTGTACACAACAATTTGTACAGTGTGCACAAATAATCTATTATGTTTACACTAATGGCATTAGAAATACCTTATACGACTTTGCAGTGTTGCGATAATACAAACTATCGTCTGATGCATTAAAACGTTTTCGTTTGATTGGACGGCGATGGCCAGAATCAGTGTACGATAAACTGAAGCGATCACCAGCTGATGGTGAAGCCGCCGGAGAACCTCCGGAAGACTGTTGCGAAATATTTAGTCTAAATGATAAACAATAACAAAACGATGGAAGAAATAAAGCAGCATAACTGACATGTAATTCCCAACAAATGGACGTGATGGTACAGTAAATCTAATAAAAAATTTGACTGATATTGCCCAGATATTCTCGAAATCAGAAATTCCATATAAGAGGAAAAAATACCGTGATTCTTCCCCTTCCAACAAATTCTGATATGCTTTCAGTTCAGTGTCAAGTTGCACTTTAAGGTCAAACAAATCTTGGTATTCAGTCAACAAACGATCAATTTCTCCTTGAAGTTCCGTAATACGCTTATCACGTTGACTAATACGAACATCGCAATCATCGCGCACAAAACGCAGCTGAAATATACATTTCGTATACATTTTTCATTGATCAAATTGTTAAATTTGGTAAACCTAAGGAATCAGATTAAAAAGTATATTAAATACAACCAAATATTAACAAACCTGGCTCTCCAAATCAGCAATTTTCTTGTTGAGACTTTCTATACGACCCTCATAACCACCTCCAACTTTTTCCATTTCATGCATACGTAGGCGTAGCCTTGCTGCTTCCTCTTTTGCAAGATTCATTTGTTGGCGAGCCTCATTTGCTTCATTAAGTTTGTTCTAAAATAGCACTCCTGAGTTCATAAAATCAAACAAAACAAGAACAAACATTCTATTTTGCACAATGTTAACCTTGTAAGTTTCATCGATATCACGTCGATTCTTGTTCAATCTTTCATCAAATTCAGCGCGCATCGCTTGAAGTTGTTCCTGCAAGCGTGATTCATATGTGCGCTCCATTTCACGTGCTGTTGTTGTCATCTCGACCTGCCGTTTTCGATGTATTTCCTCCAATTGCTGAAAAAAGCCATACATCCACCATCCTTAACATGGTAATTACGTAAAGTTTGGAAAAACCAGAAGATGCTATCCACTCTCATTATGCTTTATTACATATATATATATATAT